AGGCTTGCTTCTGGTGAGGAGTTAAAGGAAAGGCACCCTCCAGCACCTTGCGGTCAGTGCTGTTTGCTTGGCAGATAGCACCTACGAAGTCCCTGCTCCACCCTGTCCTCTAGATGGAGGGCCCTTCCTTCCCCCCTTCCTCCCCAGGGCGCCTCCCCTCCCAGTGCGGGGACACCCGCTCATTCTGGAGAACTGCCCTGTTTCTCTTCTTCCCTTGACTGCAGATTTCCCTGAGGGAGTTTCTGTGCACTCATTGCTTTGCTCCTCCCGTTCTCTAAGGAGCGCAGTCCCGTCAGGCTTTTGGCCCGACCACTGCTCCAGGACTGCTGTTGTCACGGTCACCAGGGACCTCCATTTCAGCAGATCCGCCCATCAGTGATTTCTCAGCATCAGGGGAAGCGCTGGGCCCTTGTGTTCTGTTCTGGCCGTTTCTTTCCTGGCCTTAGTCTCTGAGTTGAGAAGCTCATACCTGCCTGGCATTACTGCTGTGGACTCTCAGCTGGTTTCTGCTCTTCACCCCATCCAGCATCCAGCTGCTCCCAGGGGCTTGGCTGCTTCTGCAAACCCATTTTGAGACTGTGCACCAGAAGTGCTGCCTGGGCCTTATTGTGCCCACTGCCTGTTGGGGGCCCTCAGAATCTGTGGATAGACGACTCACAGGACCCTCAGGGTGAGCCCGCCCTCCTCACTGTGGGGCCCAGGGGCCTTCACAGCCGAGCCCCTGCCCACGTGCAGCCCCACCTTGCCCCTCCCTGTCCACTGCCCAGGCCCAGCTGCCGGCACCCTCTCCATTGTCAGACGCCTTCGTGCTTCTCTCTGGCTGGAGAGCTGTCCCTGGGCAGAGCTCAGCTCAGATGCCTTTCCTTCGGCAGGTGCCTTCCACTCCACCGCCGTGGCCGCCCCGGCAGCTCTCACGGCGAGCACTGACCGCGTGGGGGTCGTTGCTGACCTGGCGTCTAGGAGCACCCTGAGGAGGGGCCGGGCTCCTCTCTCCAGTGCGCACCTAGACTAGCTATACAACCATTTCTCGAATGAATAGTGACTTCCAATCAGGAGGCAGCATAGATTCAAGCTTGTGACATACTTTTGTGTAAACAGCAGTGAAAAGGTAAAATTTAAGCAGAGAAACATATAAACCAGAAAATACAGCCAGGCCCCCAAAAGAAAAAAATACCCTTCGGTGCAGAAACAGAATAGAAACCCAGTGTGATAAGCATGAGTCGACTAGATCCCCTGGGCCGCTAAGCTCTAAACTCCAAGCAGGCAATGGAATGGGAAACTTGGCCTCTGCAAGGTAGGCAACAGGACCTAAAGTGTGTGCTGGAATTAGGACTAAAGTCAGACTCACTTTTTGAAGCTGGGGTTAGAGGAGGTTTCCCCACCTAAGGCCACTATCCCTATACATTAGAGCTTTGTGGGGAGGGCGGGGGCAGTACCTTGGATGGGCCGCACCGTCTCATGGCTCTCACCGGGTCTGCACTGTCTGTAGTGTAAGAACCAGGTGGCCAGAGCCCTAAGTCACCATGGAAACTCTGCTTGGGGGCTTAGAGGGGCCACCACAGGACATTAGGCAGGGAGGAAGCTCCACTGACGTCGCATGGCCTCCTGCTCAAGACAGGCAGAGCCCAGATCCCGCAACGCAGAGGCGCCTCATGCCGGGACATCGCCCCGAGACGGCGCCTGCAGGACAAGACGTTCACTCCTTCTGAAATCCGTGGGGAGGCTGGTGGAGCTGTCAAGCGGAGTGTGTTTGAGATGCTTAAAAAGCTAAATCAACATCCATGAGAAGAAACATTATAAAACAAAAACAGAAATTAAACCATATTGGAAGGGCCTGACAAAAGAATAATTTGAAATCTAGTAAATGAAAGAGGTGTGGTTAGAATGATAAACTTCGGACCAGACATAACCGAAGATGGAATTTGTGAATTGGCAGTTTCTTCATGACACTGACCCAGATCGCAGCACAAGGGGGAGAGTGTGGTCAGGTAATCAGGGCCCTGAGTTGAGGCACGTTGGGACCCAGCCGCCCCTTTGACTTGACTGGCATGTGAGTAATAACTGCCTCGTGACTTAGATGTGTTTGAGTCAGGTTTTCTTTTCACCTGCAACAGGAGGAATATTTTCTGATACAAGATCACAATAATTGGATGAGAATCTCTCATTAATGGAGGCATTAGATGATCTGACAGTTATTTAAGTAAAGTTATTAGCCAGAGGAGATGTAAGTTGTAGAGTTCAATATAATATTGGCACATACGAAAGAAATCTGAAACTCAGGAAGGAAAGTGACTGTGGCCGGAGAACGTGCAGAGGAGTCTGTCCGCTCGGCTCTCCTGCCCTGCCTCCCAGCTTCAGAGCCCACTTCTGGCTGCCGCCTGCGAGTCCTCTGAGGCAGCCCGGCACGGGCAGAATCTTTGTCAAGCTTTAAGCACGTCTGGGTTACTCCCGTGAGTTTCTGGGATTTCTGGGCTTGCACGTCTGCACTGAAGTGAAGAGCTGTTGTCATGTTCTTCAGCCACATGCTCAGGAGCGGCCGTGTCTCCGGAGAGCAGTATGTGTGTAAAGTGTGGCAAAATATGTGTATCAATACTTAAGCAGATGGCTGGGTGACCTCAGAGAAGTCCGTCCTCTCCCCTCCTCACCCTTTGATCTCGCTCTTCACGGGCACAGCTTCAGGCTGGCTCACCCACCCTGGGCAGTGGGGGGGCCACTCCCAGCCGTTAGACCCCTCTGACTGCCAGCCAGCTGTCTGCAACCCCGCTCCATAAATTCCTCTAAAATCAGAATTCCTCAACCCAACCCTGGCTCCTTACTAGGAAGTGCAGCTGAGGGCAGTGTTCATGTCTGTGCTGACCCGGAAGGGTTCTTCTCAGCCACCTTGCTCTCCAGTTGTCCCCTGCGGACCCGGCCAGCCTACAGTCCAGGCCGTGTCCTCATTAAACCCGTGAATGTCCTCCCATTCCCCACAGCCTGCCCTGCTCTCCAGGGCGCCCTCAGGTCTGAACTTCCTTGAGGAGTTTCAGGGGCCATCTCTGCTGCCTGTTCTGCCCCTTGACCCCTCCGCCCTCCAAGGGAGAGTCTCTGACCCGCATCTTTGGCCCTCAGGTAGTGACAGTGGCAAGCTTCTCTGAGTGGCATCCCTGCTCAGGGACCTGCGCGCTTGGACGTGCTTCCCCAGAGCAGGGCCTCCGAATCCAGCATTCTCTGCCAGGGTGAGAGCCCCCAATCCCTGAGTGGGGTGAGTAGCACCGGGGACCCCGCCTCTCCCACCCTTGCCCAGGATGTGGCCTTTGCGCCAGGCAGGCAGCCGGGGAGGGGCGAGAAACACTGGTGTTCTGCTGCTCCCAGGAAGAAAGCCCTTGGGGGGCGCTGAAGGAGGGAGGGGCTTGTGGTCTTGTTCTGGGGGGTGAGGGATCCCCGTGTTCTTTGGCTATAGCCTCAGGAGTGACCCCCCACCTTCCTGAGCTGGAAGTCGGGTGATGGGGAGCAGTCTTGGTTCAGATATCATGGTGTTGCCTTTCTTACTCAGTCTCCATAGATGTTCTTGAAGAGATGTCTCCTCATTTGTTGTTTACCCTCGGGACGCTTTCAGAGGCTTTGAATGGGTGTGGCTTTTGTATATAATTACCCCAGTTTTCCTGGAGCTCCTCAAGCTGGGAGTTGCTCACCCGCAGTCGTGGATTCTTGAAGAAATACTGGTTTAGAAGAGAAATTAGATAAATTTAAATGACCATTAACTTACTATATCCATGAAAATGTTTACTACTATCCTTCAAGATCTCCATAAATTATCTGCCTCTTCAGTTTGCTCTCCCGGAAATAACTGCATTCAGGAAAAAATACTTTAATTTGACTCTTTTCCATTGTTGGTTGAAATAATACTGCTTGCTGCTTCTCATCCCCCACGGGCAAGTATTTCAGATCTGCATCGTGTCTCAAAAAGGTTTTTGTGGGCTCGCCTTGTGAAGTCACATTCTAGCGAGTAATGTAAGTTCTGTGGTAAAGGTGACTTTGAGTTGCAAAGGGTTAATTTAGGAATGAACTGTAAGTATGCTCTGGTTAGTAAATTGATTTTCTAGATCACCTGACCAACTTTTTCAGTTTTGAATGTCAGATTGCTCAGTGAACTTTTATCTCCTCCTTTGTCCTTTGAAGAGAAAATTCTTAAAATACAGAGAATGTTGACAGTTGGCAGATGACTTTAATCATTTCAGAGTTGTTTTGTTCCACTGGTAAAGGGACGGGACAATGTGAGTCCGTTTCTTCTGCCCCGGCTTGCCTGTCGCGTCCACGTGAGGGCGCTCAGCACTGCGGTCCGCGAGCTAAGCCAAAGCAGGCCCCTGGCATCTCTCTTCTCAGGGCTGTCCTTGAGGAACTTTTCTGCTTGGCTAAAGAAATGAGTCTTAAACTCTCCCTTTCCTCAGAAGGCTTACCAGTGTTTTTGAAAAGTCAATTTTTTTACAGTTGACTTTGAGCAGTTTTCAGGCTAGCAGACTGGCTTCGGGGGCCATCAGCCTATCTCCTGGTGGTGCTCCACAACCCTGCGGTTGTCCCCGGAGGAAGACTGCCGTAGACAGGAGAAGAGGCTGTCTCTCCATGGTGGTTCAAGGTCACATGTCTGCAAGTCACTTTAAAAAGTCTTTATCCATTTGGGTGTCCGGTGTCGGGTGTCGGGATCCATGTTCAGGAAAACACCTGGGACCTCTCTGGATCTTGAGAAGGCAGGCTTGGGTCCCCCTCTTCTTCCTCTTGGCCGGTGCCAGGCTGGTTCAGGGGTGGAGGGAGGACAGGTGGTCTGAGTTAGGATGGTTGGCATGGTCTTGGGCCAGCCAGGTGGCAGCAGGGCTTGAACGCACCTCGCAGCCCCCATGGACCCCTGCCTTCTGCCTGGGAGCAGCTGACGATCTGGGCTGCCTTTGCGCGAGGCCTGGAGAGGCTTGGTGGGAGTCTTTCTCTAAAGGGCCCCCTGCCCCCATCTTTTTTCCACTCTTTTCTAGGAGTTTGCAGCACTTACTAAAGAACTCAATGTGTGCAGGGAACAGCTCCTTGAAAGAGAAGAAGAAATTGCTGAACTAAAAGCGGAAAGAAACAACACGAGGGTTAGTAGGTGGATTCATGCTGTTTCCACATTTGCTCTGGGTCACCATACGGATCAGTTGTTGCTGTCTTTAAACTCAAAAGATGATCCAGTCTTTCTGGTTTTAAACACCTTTTCAACATTTTCCCACTGAGTTGACTGATTGATCTGTTTGGCATTCTCATGCCTAGCTTGGGATTTATGAGAATTAATGATATTTTAATACATTAGTGGCCTTTCTCTGACTGGAAGACTGGGTGGAAGGGATTCAGACTTCCTTTATTTAGCATGAGAGTGAAAGGAGTTATTTGCCTCAAATTCAAACATGAAATTGAAAGTGCCCTTTAAATGTTTTTATTTTGGCCTTTTTTCCCAGCTGCTGCTAGAACATTTGGAATGCCTTGTGTCCAGGCACGAGAGGTCTCTCAGGATGACTGTGGTGAAGAGGCAGGCACAGTCTCCAGCAGGCGTGTCCAGTGAAGTTGAAGTCCTAAAAGCACTAAAATCACTATTTGAGCACCACAAAGCTCTGGATGAAAAGGTACTGCAGCCACATAGCAGTTCTTGATGTGTACACACGCTGTATTCCTGGGCAGGTGGGCATCATGTGTGTCTGTTGTAACTTTGGTTTACTTTAAAGTTTCTTGAATTCTTGTAAACACATGTTCTCTGTTAAGAAAGCAGTTCTGTATGGTTAAAAAGTATATTAGTTGGCATAAATGTCAGATTTATTATATACTATATATCAATTTGCTATCAAGAATTGGGTAATATAGTTTATTTAGGGGGAATTTTTGTCAAACTTGAAATTTAAAGCTATTAACAAGCAAGTTTTCTTGACATTAAGATCAATAAAAGACTTTAAAGGAATCTGTTATGTTATACCAACTGTACATTAAGATAACTATACATTGAGAGTTAAGTATACACACACACACACACACACACACACGAACACACACACACCCATGTGGCCCTTCTGTTTCAGGTAAGAGAGCGGTTACGAGTAGCACTTGAAAGGTGCAGTTTGTTAGAAGAGGAATTGGGTGCCACACACAAAGAGGTAAGCTTGGTAATTCATCATAGGATTTGAGTGGAGGCTTTTAAATTTTTATCCCTTAATTGAAAAAAAAAAAGTGTGAAGACTGCATAGTGGGTATCAGACGCTATTTATCTTTCTGATTGAGGACCAGCCCACCTGGGTGTCATTTCAGTGCTTAGTAAACTAGACTTATTTCAGAGTTGCAGAATCTCTTAAGCATCTGTTTGTCCACTAGGTCATTAATTCTGTTTTTGATAACCTGGTACGTACATCTGAATATATATACCATATGTTTTCTTATGCAGTGTTTATAGTTGTGTTTTTCCAAAAGGAGTTTTGCTATCTTATTTCTTTACTCTCATATTTAATTTTTTTGGTTTTAGCTAATGATTCTTAAAGAACAGAATAACCAGAAAAAAACACTAACAGATGGGGTGCTTGACATAAACCACGAGCAAGAAAACTCGCCAAGCACGAACGGACAGGCAAGTCCTCAGGCCTTCTTGTGTCTCTTTCCGATTTCATGTCCGCAGGCCGTGTGTGGGGCCGTTGGAAAGCGCCGCTGAAGCGTGGCTTAGCCAGGGAGCGGTAGTGGAAGTTGGGCGAGCCAGCAGACCGCATAAGTCAGTCGTGACTTTACTGATTTCCAGAAAGCACTTTGTTTTCCAGCTCACCAAATGAGGCTATTCAAGGATTTTTCCCCCTCCAGAGATCATCGGACGGCTCTTCAAGCCACGAGGAAGACCTTGCCAAAGTAATGGAGCTCCAGGAAGTCATAGACAAGCAGTCCCGAGAGCAGAGCCAGATGAAGGAGCGCCTGGCCGCCCTCGGCAGTCACGTGACGGAGCTGGAGGAGGACCTGGACACGGCCAGGAAAGACCTCATCAAGTCTGAGGAGGTGAACACAAAGTTGCAGCGAGACGTCCGGGAGGTGAGTGGCGCTCACTGCGGCACTGTCGCCAAGTTGAGCATCTGGGTGTCTTGGTTTGGTTGTTTTGATCATTGCCCCTTGCTCCCCCAATACGTGAGACCTTAGGGTCACTGTATGGATAACAGCAGTTCATAAAACAGAACACCGAGACAGTGCCGAGCTGCCCCCCCGCCTCTGGGCCGCAGCCTCCCCTCCCTGAGGTCTTCCCAGGCTAGGGAGACCTGGTGCAGCCGTCTGTTGGCCAACAGTGGCAGAGGGACATTGGTGCTGGCCCCCGCCCCACGCTGCCAGGCAGCCGCAAAGCACCCTTGTGTGTGGACTCGTTTCTGCTGATTCTGCGTTGTCTGAGTTTATCCTCCCTTCTGCTCGAATTTCCTTCTGACACACGTAAACAAGTAGACGTCGGTCCCTGTTGTGCTGCTCGTTCATTCACAGTGATGCGTGCACGGTGTACCAACTCGGGGAGCGGGAAGGCTGACTCGTAGGTTCTTGACCTCCTTGAAGGGTTACCTGACACCAAGTGTCGGTGGCCAGACAAGTGATAACAGTGGAATGATTTGCTCACACTTGGCTCATCTGTAAAAACGCATAGAAATATAGGCATTTCTGGCATGCATTGCGGCATATACGGTGATTTATGAGAAACTAATCGCCACCATGAAAACAAATGAGGGCTGGATACATTCTTTCTGGTGTTCTATCCTGTTGCTATAACCTGTCCTTTGTAAACAAACCACCCACCCACCTCCATGAGACAGTCTCAGAGAGAGCCTCCCAAGAAGACCCTTGAAAGTGTACGCAGAATAGATTTACTTTGTTTAGTAGCTTAGTGTAATTTTATGTAAGAATTTAAAGTGAAAAAAGATATTTGCATATTATAGAACCTGTTTAGTTATATTATTCCTTGGCAGTAGTAAATTATGTGGCAGTGTTTAATATGTGGAGAATTTTGAAATTCTCTTTTAAAGACTTGTCACTTTTAATATTAAGAGTTTATTAACATTAGTTACTTAAACAGGAAAGCACCTGAAGTAAATTTTTAGGGTGGGGGCAGAAAGTGCATTAGCAGAAAGTTCTGATCCTGGTTTCAGTGTTTGATATGGTGCAATTTAATTTTGCTACAGAATCAGGTTTACAAGTTTACTTCCAAGTGTATTAAACTGTAACTTCTGTTTCCATTTGTTGATATTATTACCTTAATTTTGTGGTAACTGGATGACTTGCACCCAGCTTTTAACCCAAGAAAAGGATCCTTGGGCTCACCCCCACCACTGCTCGGAGGTGCTCCCTGTCCTGTGGAGGGCCCGCCTGTGTCGTGAGGCACAGGAGTGGGGTCTTCACTGCAGGCACCCTCACCTCCTGGAATTCTCACAATGTTGGAATATTTTGTTACATTTGCTTTTCTTTTTTTGGTAATATGCAGAGATAAGCTTGGTAGGCTGAGTGGCCAGACATAATGTTAAGACAGATGAGTCTTTGCTAATCATGTAGGTGAATATTTATGATCTTTGAAGCCGGTACATTTGTATTCACATAAGAGAAAATTGGCTCTCAATTTAGTTTTGAGGACAAGTTATTTTACATTTGATTTGACAATTAGGACTTAGTCCAGTCTTTTCTCTCTTAAATGTTATTGTGCTACCTTTTTCCCTCCAAAATACCTAACGCAGGCCGTGGCCCAGAAGGAAGACATGGAAGAGAGAATCACTACCCTCGAGAAGCGCTACCTCGCGGCACAGCGTGAAGCCACTTCTGTGCATGACCTCAACGATAAACTTGAAAATGAAATTGCAAATAAGGATTCTATGCACCGACAGGTAGTGGCTGTTACTAGATTTTTATTAATTTATTGATTCATTACTGATGAAGTTAAGGACCTTTTTCCTGTGTCATGTTGGAAATCAAGTCCCAAAACAACATTTTTGTGATCAGAGAATATCATGTTAAAAAATATGGGTTACTTCAGCTCACAACTTTTAATTATTTAGGATATGCTTTAACCATTTTATGGCACTACACTCCTTGACTTGTTCTTCGGTTTTGTTTTGTTTTGTTTTAATTGAACGTAATCTGTCGCTTGTTAGCATTGCCACCAAAGGAGGAGAGAGTGGCGAAGAGCGTCGGGGCCACTGCTCGTGGTGGCTGTGACCAGTGCAGTAGGCGGCAGGCTCAGAGACGCAGTCTGTTAGAGGGGTGCACGCCTCCTCTGCTTGGGCAGGCCGTGCTCCTCCTTATTTCTGTATAGTCTCAGTTAATCAAGGGTTAAAACAGAAAAACCAAGGCCAGCTTCCTGAAAATGAAATGAGCTTGTTTGGTATATTATGAACTATATAATTAGACCCAAAATAAAAATAAAAAATAAAATGTTACAAAACCATTAAAAATGATGTTGTGGAATGCTATGTAAGACCACATAAAATGTTCAGAATAATGACTTTAAAAGGCTGATCACAAAACGTACAGTGTGATGTGTTTACTGAGGGTTTTAAGCATCTTGTGTGTACATATACGTAGAGATACATGCACACGGAAAAAGGAGAAAACATAAACAAACAGGTGTTAACCTCTCAGGAACCTGAATTTATAGATGATTTTAAATTTTCTTTTTTTTTTTAATCTCCTGTCTAAATTTTCTACATTGAAGGTTTTTTTTGTTTCTTTTTTAGAGTAAGAGGATTTTTAAAAATATAATTGTACATTTACAAACATGACTAGCTCTTCATGGGGTGTCATCTTGGGCATTCCTTTCAGAGGCGCCAGCAGCCGTGGTCGGGCTTCCGTGACCCTGGGATCCCCTGTCGGTGGTTCACCTGCAGATAATGAGGCTGAGTCCTTTTTAAAGGGTTACTTACTGAACTTACCTGTCAGTAAGAAGGAGCAAGCTCCTACAGAAAACGGGTTTTCTTTAATGGGTAGGAAATTTTGTTAGATTTAAAAAAAAAAAAAAAGACTTCTTTGAAGATATTTAGGCGAAGCAAATACTTTGGCAGAAGGTGTTTTGTGTGTTGAAGCCAAGCCCAGAAAGCAGGTGTGCCCCTCTGCCGAGAGCGGCGTCTTACTCCAAAGCAGCTGCCAGGGCAGTGGTGCCTCCATCGGAACCAACTCAGCCCACGTCTGCATTTCAGTTTTATCACCATTCATTAAAAATAGAACGGCTGCATACCTTTTGATGCTTTGCTCTCGTTTCCTAGACCGAGGATAAAAACCGCCAGTTGCAGGAGCGCCTGGAGCTGGCAGAGCAGAAGCTGCAGCAGACGTTGAGGAAGGCGGAGACGCTGCCCGAGGTGGAGGCCGAGCTGGCCCAGCGGGTGGCTGCGCTCTCCAAGGTGGCACCCTGGCTGCCCCGTGGGGTCGCGTGGCGGGACTTTGGCTTTGATGGGGGTTTGTTTCTGGAGCCTGTCCTTGAGCCGGTGTACCTAAACCCACAGAATAGCTCCGATTTGTTCCTAGTGCTGTTTTGCCTTGGATTGGGGCAGTTTTTAAATTCAGACCTTTTCCCCTTTCTCGACACCCCTGATCAGTTTCCCTGCAGTTTTGTCAGATGTGTGCATTTGGCCCCCCTGTGCTTGGCTGCAGAGCCCCCGCTTCTCAGAGCTATTGAGGTCAGCAACTCAAAGCATAGGGGAGAAGCTCTGTGTTAAAGAAGGCTAGATGTTTCACCAGAAACATGAGTACCCCGTCCCCTTTAAAGACAATCAGAATGAATTTGTAATAAATAAATTTTTAAGTAACTCGTTCATTTGCTCACCAAATATTGGCTAGGTATGTGTAAGAGACAGCCCCTGCCCTCCGTCCTCCCCACCCACAGGGGAAGCCAGCAGGGGAGGCAGCGGCTCCAAAATGATGTAAGAGGTGCTGAGATGGGTGGGCCACCCGGGGAGAGGAAGCACATCGTGCACCAGACGGCCCGGTCTTCCTGGGCCTCGGGAGGCTTAGCTGTGCCGCACCAGGAGCATCAGCCAGGCAGAGATGTGTCCCAGGCTGAGGGAGCCTGGGCTGGAGCATCTGTCAGGACTTGTGTTCTGCCCGGCTAAGGCCCAGGGAGCCGCGGCCAGGGGCCCGGGAGGAGGGGGCGGGGCAGGCCCGGGCGCCACCGCAGAAGCCAGCGCGGGGCCGCTCAGCTGCTGTCAGGCGCTCACAGACCCCCTTAGGGCAGGCTGACTGCTGACAGCAGGGACCGGACTGCCTCTTCCTCTGTGATCTGTGTTTGAAGTCTCGGTTTCTTCTCTCCCTTGTCATCTCTCCTGTCCCTGGTCGGCCTTGTAGTCTGACCTCTTGTCTTCTGGAAGCTCTGCTGCTAAGGAAGCTAAGCTGTTGGGACTTACTTCCCAGCTTAGGAAGGTAGAATGGGTACATTGCTCTTACTGTGCTTGCTGCTTCCTGCGTCCCATGCTGACTGACCAAAAGCACCCCGAGGGTGAGGATGGGCGGAAGACACGACCCACGGAGGCTGGGGGGGAGCACGTTTTCCCTCACAAAGTCAGCTGCCAGCCCCAGCCATGCCCCGGTCACCAGTGTGAGGCTGAACTGCTTCCGGGTTTAACCCCTGAAGCCACATGGAATGTGTCAGTAGGTGTAAGGAGTGCATCCCACCTCCCCTGGTCGGGGAGAGTCCATGCAGAGCATGTCTGCTTGCTGCTCCTCGGTAGCGCCCAGCACATTGTCCTAAAGAGGGTGCGGAGCGGAACTTACGCTCTTCTCGCTGACAGGCCGAAGAGAGACACGGCAACATCGAGGAGAGGCTCCGCCAGATGGAGGCGCAGTTGGAGGAGAAGAATCAAGAGCTGCAGCGGGTGCGTGTCTGGGAGGTTGAGTCCCGGCCAGGGCAGCGGGAAGGGGACCTCACCGGTCTGTTCTCCCAGCTTGGATGCCAGCCCCCTCTTGATGCCTGTTACGTGTACTGAGTTAGTGGCCCCATCTGCAAGCTGTCTGCCGATCGGTGTATCTGCCACACAGTATGTCAGCGTTGGTCCCAGGGCAAGAAGCTGGTGCTCGTAGACAGTGCCACAGTAGGTAGATGGGGTCCCTGTGTCCAGGAAGTCTGCCTGCTACTCTGAGCAGCCTGTTGGGAACTGCTCCGGGTGCCAGTGGGACCTGCAGGTGCTCCTCAGACAGATGTGAGTCCTGGGCTGGGGCCCCTGAGGTGTAGAGGAAGGCATGTTGTCCTAGAGACCAGTCTGCTTGCTTTAGGATATGGCACTGAAGTCCCAGATTCAGGTCACGGGCCTAACTGCCCTAGAGTACTGAATTATTACTCCATTATGAAGGCATCTGTAGGGATGGACACTCCTGAGCAAGAGGGAAGCCATAGCTGGGCTGTGATAAAAGGAGCAGTAAGGGTGTATGGCTGTGGGCGCTCATGCCAGCTGAATCCCAAGAATTCTCCCTGGAAGGAGTCGGTCATATGTCAGTATGGAACATCCAGGAAACAGACCGAGTGGCAGGCCCAGGCTGCTGGCACCCAGCTTTTGGGCGTTCAGGGCCGTCAGATTGTTTTCACCAGAAACCTATATTCTTGGCCATGGGTGGCGGAGTGTCAGACACAAATTCCAGGAAGCAAGGATCTGCCTCCCACCCAGAGATTGCATGTTAAGCTTTGCCCTGCTCCCCAGCACGCACAGGGGCACACGTGCCCACCTGTTAGGGACACACCTTGGTACTTTCAGAACTGCTTTGTAGAGTTTGAAGGACAGGTGTTGAGGTAGGGATACTATTTGTAACTGTGGCAATTCCAAGTAAACCTTTAGTTGTTTTGCTTCAGAAATACTCAAATGCTGGTGCTTTGTGGTGTGTTGGGTCTCTTCCAAGCAGAGACGTTTGCTGTGCTGCGTGATTCTGAGTGTTTTTCATTTACTTCTGAAAATGACCTCATGAGGAAGGGGAGATGCTGGAGATGAGGGAACGGATCGAGGCACAGAGGGGTGGACGCCTGGCCCTGTCCCTCCCGTGGGTTCACTGCCCCTGCCTGTCAACAGGGCTGGAACGCACCCCGCAGCCCCCGTGGTCCCCGCCCCCTGCCTGGGAGCAGCCCCGCACGCTGCCGGCCAGCTCAGGCCATGTGCTCAGGTGGCCTGGCCGGGCTTGTGCTGCCACTTAGCGCTGCCTGCTCCCTCTGCCTACCTTTTGCATTCATTCAGGATATGCAAAACAAGCTTTTTAAACCTTGAAATTGATGGTAGTTTTATAAAACACAGAGTTAGCAACTTTGTTATTACATTTTTAAATTACTCAAGAATTATTTGTAATTTTTGAATACAGATTTTCATTGCAAGTAAGTTGAGTGATGTAGGAGTATAAAGAAAAACAGGTGAAAGTCTGCCTCCACTGGCTTTTTCCAAAATGGAGTGTTTTACCTTTTGCTTCATAAATTGAGTTCATTTTCTCCCCCTGAATCCAGACCCAAGCTTCTGTTAATTTATACACAGGGCATTTCCTCCACCAGTGTGTAGATAAGCCGATCCCCTTGAAAACATGCTCTTTCCTTTATGTGAATCTGGCTCCTCAGTCCGTCTGGCAGCTGATAGACTGGTGACACTCCGGGGGCCCACGGGTGCTTTGTCTCACAGAAGCGGTGGGACCCCTGGAGCACGAGTCCCTCGTTTGTCGGTGCCTGTACATCGGTCTGGTGACCTGCAGACACCCACTCGCGGTGCTGGGAGGAGCAGCCCGGGAGGGGAGAGCATGTGCTCACTCACCGTGGGTCCTTGGCACTTTTTAGATAATGATAAATAACTTCAACTTTTACTTGAAGTTTATAAGTTTTTTTTTTTTTATTTTAGGCAAGGCAGAGAGAAAAAATGAATGAAGAGCATAATAAACGTTTATCAGACACTGTTGATAAACTTCTTTCAGAATCTAATGAGAGGCTTCAGCTTCATCTTAAAGAGAGAATGGCTGCCCTGGAAGATAAGGTGGGACGTCGGCAGCGTCACCGAAGGGCTCCCACCCTCCACAAAGAGACCATCCAGGCTTTGCTCCCGAGGAATATGCAAACCGGTGGTTAACACCCATTACAGGAAGTAGAAATTATTCTTTAATGTGCAGAAGATGCGAAGTGTTGTCCGCTTACTGAGTTACCTCGTCAGTGTCCTGGCCTTGCCCAGCTTGTGTGTGTGGCATATTGTTTATTCTCACTCTCTAGGAGTTGGTGAACTGTCTCTGTAAAGGGCCAGATAGTAAATATTTTAGGCTTTTCCAAATTATGAGTAATTGAGCAAAATAACTTCATGCTAATCAGTAACTAGCATGAAAGCAGCCATAGATAATATGTAAATGAATGGGTGCAGTTATGTGCCAATAAAACTTTATTTATAGGAACAGGCATTGGGCAAGACTTGGTTGATAGGCCCTGGGTTGCCAACCCTGCACTAGGGTCTTCTCTAGGCCCGACCCTCACCCCTTTGTTGCTTTTGCATCACAAGTTAATTTTTGTCTCATTTATTAACATAGCAGTGTAGGAGTATGAATAATGTAAAGGATTAATCAACCAGAAGTAAACATTCTCATACCTCCAGCTCCTGCTTTCTCTCTTTTCTTTTGGTTTGGAAAAAGTCTAAACCTGGACTGTCAGAGTCCCATCATAGGAGCTCTCCTGCTGTAACTGGAGTGGGGAGGACCCTAGAGCCCAGTCGCTAGGTTCAGATTCGGTGAAACTTGTCCCGACCGCACCACTATCCCCAGAGCTGAGGCCCAGAACCTCCCCTGAGACTGGCCCCTAGGATCCTGCTCATTCGAGAGAGACCAACGATCACTACTATAATGTTTCATCCAAATACGACACATTCATTTTATACAAAACCCGTTCTGAGATGCATCACTAACGACCACATAGGCAAGTCGCCTCACTTCTTCCTTGACCGGTGGGCAACCTTACGTTCGGAATATTTTTGTCTTAGAATTGAATTATATGTTTGAAACTTACGTCAGGTTTCCCAGGTGACTGGTGAATTACAAAATCCATAAGCTAGTATAAACCAGGTTAACAGATTAAATTTACACCAGGAGCTTGACGTGCTTACATTTAGAAAATGATTTATAAGTTTTTTTTTTTTTATTTTAGGCAAGGCAGAGAGAAAAAATGAATGAAGAGCATAATAAACGTTTATCAGACACTGTTGATAAACTTCTTTCAGAATCTAATGAGAGGCTTCAGCTTCATCTTAAAGAGAGAATGGCTGCCCTGGAAGATAAGGTGGGACGTCGGCAGCGTCACCGAAGGGCTCCCACCCTCCACTAAGAGACCATCCAGGCTTTGCTCCCGAGGAATATGCAAACCGGTGGTTAACACCCATTACAGGAAGTAGAAATTATTCTTTAATGTGCAGAAGATGCGAAGTGTTGTCCGCTTACTGAGTTACCTCGTCAGTGTCCTGGCCTTGCCCAGCTTGTGTGTGTGGCATATTGTTTATTCTCACTCTCTAGGAGTTGGTGAACTGTCTCTGTAAAGGGCCAGATAGTAAATATTTTAGGCTTTTCCAAATTATGAGTAATTGAGCAAAATAACTTCATGCTAATCAGTAACTAGCATGAAAGCAGCCATAGATAATATGTAAATGAATGGGTGCAGTTATGTGCCAATAAAACTTTATTTATAGGAACAGGCATTGGGCAAGACTTGGTTGATAGGCCCTGGGTTGCCAACCCTGCACTAGGGTCTTCTCTAGGCCCGACCCTCACCCCTTTGTTGCTTTTGCATCACAAGTTAATTTTTGTCTCATTTATTAACATAGCAGTGTAGGAGTATGAATAATGTAAAGGATTAATCAACCAGAAGTAAACATTCTCATACCTCCAGCTCCTGCTTTCTCTCTTTTCTTTTGGTTTGGAAAAAGTCTAAACCTGGACTGTCAGAGTCCCATCATAGGAGCTCTCCTGCTGTAACTGGAGTGGGGAGGACCCTAGAGCCCAATCGCTAGGTTCAGATTCGGTGAAACTTGTCCCGACTGCACCACTATCCCCAGAGCTGAGGCCCAGAACCTCCCCTGAGACTGGCCCCTAGGATCCTGCTCATTCGAGAGAGACCAACGATCACTACTATAATGTTTCATCCAAATACGACACATTCATTTTATACAAAACCCATTCTGAGATGCATCACTAACGACCACATAGGCAAGTCGCCTCACTTCTTCTTCCTTGACCGGTGGGCAACCTTACGTTCGGAATATTTTTGTCTTAGAATTGAATTATATGTTTGAAACTTACGTCAGGTTTCCCAGGTGACTGGTGAATTACAAAATCCATAAGCTAGTATAAACCAGGTTAACAGATTAAATTTACACCAGGAGCTTGACGTGCTTACATTTAGAAAATGGGTCAGTGAAGGAGTGAGCCATGGGCAGATTCCCTGAAGGCTCTTGCGGTGGCCTCACTGTCAGCGTCTCACTCTGGGAATCTGGTGCTGCTCAGTGTGTCCATATGGCCCATTCCTCTCCTCCAGCACTTTATTCTAAACTGGAATATAGCCGTACTATGTGACGTGGAGTATTTTCAAGAATCAACACTAACGTACTTTGTGTATCTTTTTTCAGAATTCCCTATTACGAGAAGTTGAAAATGCAAAAAAGCAGTTAGAAGAAACACAACACGACAAGGTATTTAAATGTCCGAATTGTTTAGAAATCCATTAAAAATTGAAATGAGCCAAGTAGATTGTTATAATTACTACAGATGTTTGGCAGAGGTTGTTAAACTTTATGGCCAGTCTGCTGCTGTCAGATTCATGATACCTCTGGATCTGTACGGCCAGGGTGTTCGTGTGTGATGGATTTTGAATCTGGCAGTGTGTATGGTTTAGAATTCAGAATTCTCTTTGCATTCATTTGAAAGCTGAAACATTAAGCACAAACCTTCCATCTAGAACAGTGCCGTCCAACAGAAAGATCACATGAGCTGCATATGTAATCCAAAGCTTTCTAGTAACCACATAGCAGTGCGTGGTGTTCGCTGTTTTTCAGGATCAGCTTGTGCTGAACATGGAAGCGTTGAGGGCCGAGCTGGACCAGATGAGGCTGAGGGGCACATCTCTCCACCATGGGTATGACACGCACCAGTTCACAAATACTTCTGCACTTGTGTGTGTGCAAGGGAATGTCCTTGTCTTCTGGGCAGCGTGAGTGGATAAAGCTCAGGAGCATGAGCTTAGCAGTGGGCAGGAGGGGAGAGTGAAACATCGTTCCAGAGGTTACATTTTGGTACCTGGGAGACTGGTTGTCGTGTCATTGACCAACTCAGAACCACAGGAGGAGGTTTGGGACGGTAGGGAATAGTCAGTTCGTATTTGGGTGTACTGATTTGAGGGACCCACAGGGTATGGCACTGGTAGCGTGGGGGTAGGAGGACAGAGCTCAAGGCGCACCTGTGGGAGGGATGGGCATGTCCCTGGGGTGGTGAGAGCCCCCCAGGAGGGACGGGCTGTGCAGCTGGAACTCTGGGGGACCCCTTGACTCTGATGGGGTTGGCACCACACTTGCAGATTTTAATATCTAAGAGCCCTGCAGGGTAGTGATAAGGACCATTTAAGATCTGTTGAGATGTGACTGAGTTGGTTTCCATGAGTGAATTACCTGGCTTTGAATGAATCTAGTGAATTGCCTAGCACCCTGATTTTCTTCATCATTATAGAGGCAATTCTTTTCATTAAGGTACTTAAAATTTTCTTTTGCTTCTTTGTAGCAAATGGTCACCCAGTGAGAGTTAAGCTAGCAGAAGTTGTTGAAATGGTTAGCCAGTGACATTCACTGCTCTTCAGGAAACAGGCTCCTGCTTGAAATGTGATTAGGGAGAGAGCTTGGAGCCTGTGCAGATATTTCTGCATTTGCAAATTCAGGATATCACGAAGGTCTAGGGTGTGTTGGGATGCTCTCTACTGGGACTACTTCCAGAAAAGAAGAGGAGAAATCAGGGCAGACAGAGTTCTAGAGGGGCAGAGCCCCAGGAGGACAGTTTCCAGGACAGTGTGCATGCGTATGGAGGGAAGTGTGCAGGAGGGCAGCCAGCAGTGGCTTGCTGTGGGGCAGGTCCTCGCAGGGAAGGGCCGGGGTGATTGTGTCACTGCTCAAGGAGCCGAGGACGAATGTCTGAGGAAGACGGCGCACGGGTGGGTGGCTGAAGGGGAGACAGGTGCCGTGCGCGCCCCTCCCAGGGAGTGTGAGTGATGGGCAGAGGGGAGTGAGCTCTCACCCTGGAAGGGGTGGCAGGCTGCAGGGGTCATTCTGATGGGGCATCTTGTGTGTGCTGGCCAGTGCTCACTGTGAGACTAAAAGGACAGGAGGGACAGAGGGAGGCGCTCTCTGCTCTGAAGCACAGAGGCAGCAGGAGAGGGACAGGTGGCCAGGGTCACAGGCGGCTGTCTTGTCATGCCATGATGGTGGGCCAGGGAGGCTGGGTGACGGGGAGGAGGCGGCTCTGGAGAGTTGGCGTGAGGTGGCTGAAACGCCGCGAGGGGCTTCAGACTGGGGAAGTCCTGTTTCGGTGGGTGTGCGATGGGGCCTTGGGGAGGAAGAGAGAGCACGTGGCTAGCGGGCAGGGCGTGACGTCACAGGGAGGCCAGCAGTCATCTTGTTTTTGTGACCTCCGGTGGGGAGAGAGGCCTAAGTTCTTAAGAGGAGTGGAAAAGAAAGGTGACGGTAGGCTTCTGAAGGCAGATGGGGCCGAGAGGAAAGAGCCTTGAGGAGGCGACAGGCCGCAGGGTGGCGGCAGGGTGGGACCAAACTAAGTGTCAAAAAGTGTCAAAATTAAGTGACATTTGTGACCTTCAGAGGATCCATGAACCATCTGAAATTATGTGCAGGAGAAGGTGCAGGCACTGTGGCCACAGGTAAGGGGGGGCATTGGGCTGGACAGCATGCCCCTTCACCTCTGCCAACCGCTCCTCTCGAGGGCCTTTTCCAAGGTGAACAGCTAATGGCCCACTTCAGCGACACCATCCTAGGTACTCCGGGCCCCATCCACCTTTTCTAGAGACTTCTTCAGGCAAGGGCGTTAGTTGTTTGTTAATCTATTTGCACATGGGTGGGTGCTTTCAATTTGGAAATGCCAGGCTCACTGCCAAATCCAGTTTGCATAAGCCATGAGCTGTGGTTCAGAGGGCATCTGCAGCTGCCCCTGTGTGGCACCTGTTAGCGTTTTGTCCAGGGCCACCCACTGCATGCCTGTGATCCGTCGGTCTCACACTGGATCTTGACAGAAATGGGACAGTAGCAGTTGAAGGCCAGAAGTGGAGATAAGCCTCCTGGTCGGTCGGGGGAGGGATAGAGCAGCACGGTGGGCGAGCAGCTCTGCCTCGGCCTGCAGGCCGCCGGGGTGGACCGCAGGCTCTGGGCCCCAGCCCCAGCCCCGGGGCTCCTCCTCACCCTCGTGTCTGTGGCCTCCGCATCACTTGTTTTTGTGACCTCCGGTGGGGAGAGAGGCCTAAGTTCTTAAGAGGAGTGGAAAAGAAAGGTGACGGTAGGCTTCTGAAGGCAGATGGGGCCGAGAGGAAAGAGCCTTGAGGAGGCGACAGGCCGCAGGGTGGCGGCGGGGTGGGAGCAAACTAAGTGTCAAAAAGTGTCAAAATTAAGTGACATTTGTGACCTTCAGAGGATCCATGAACCATCTGAAATTATGTGCAGGAGAAGGTGCAGGCACTGTGGCCACAGGTAAGGGGGGGCATTGGGCTGGACAGCATGCCCCTTCACCTCTGCCAACCGCTCCTCTCGAGGGCCTTTTCCAAGGTGAACAGCTAATGGCCCACTTCAGCGACACCATCCTAGGTACTCCGGGCCCCATCCACCTTTTCTAGAGACTTCTTCAGGCAAGGGCGTTAGTTGTTTGTTAATCTATTTGCACATGGGTGGGTGCTTTCAATTTGGAAATGCCAGGCTCACTGCCAAATCCAGTTTGCATAAGCCATGAGCTGTGGTTCAGAGGGCATCTGCAGCTGCCCCTGTGTGGCACCTGTTAGCGTTTTGTCCAGGGCCACCCACTGCATGCCTGTGATCCGTCGGTCTCACACTGGATCTTGACAGAAATGGGACAGTAGCAGTTGAAGGCCAGAAGTGGAGATAAGCCTCCTGGTCGGTCGGGGGAGGGATAGAGCAGCACGGCGGGCGAGCAGCTCTGCCTCGGCCTGCAGGCCGCCGGGGTGGACCGCAGGCTCTGGGCCCCAGCCCCAGCCCCGGGGCTCCTCCTCACCCTCGTGTCTGTGGCCTCCGCATCAGCTTTCTCGGCCATTCAAGCCTTGCAGCTGCCGGGGCTGAAAGTCCAGCTGTTGGCAGGGGGGCAGCAGGTGCTACCAGGGGGCCCCTCCTTGAGGCTTCAGCGGAATTACTCCATGGCTCCACTAATAAGTTACTTCACTTTTCTTCTAATAACGACCTTTTTTTCATGTTTCAGCCGACCGCATCTGGGCAGTGTCCCAGATTTCAGGTTCCCCGTGGCGGATGATCCCACAGACTCATACGGCAGCAGCGCAGTGTTGCGGCGCCCGCAGAAGGGCCGTGCGGCGGCTCTGCGAGACGAGCCTTCCAAGGCAAGGCCTGTGCCCTCCGCGGGCTCGCGGTGCACCACCCGCCTCCTGAAGAGTCGCCCCTTTACCCGTGGCCTGGGGGCTGCTTTGGGATTGCAGTGGTGATAGGCCACTTTCTTTGATCCTCCCCATTCTCCTTCTGGTTAAAAGTTTACTTTTAGGACATGTTTTGTTTTTAGTTTTTTTTTTTTTTTTTTAAGAACAGAAATTCTGGTAAAATTTGACCTGCCCTTAAGGACAGCACAATGCTAATTGGTACAGTTTTGAAGTAGTAATTAAGAGTAAATGAATACACGTCTTCACCTTTTAGTGAAAAGAATTCACATTTGGAAGTTTAAATAGCTCCATGCTTTTGTCTGTTTCAACAGCTTGCTTGTTATGAACCTCTGCGTGTTTTGAGCTCCCTTACTAATTGAACAACTGCTGTGGGCCGACATCGTCACAGATGTAAGGCCACAGCAGTGAGTGAGCACCGATAGGGGGCCTGCACCCCGTGTGCGCCATCCTGCCGGGGGAGAGAGCGGTAGTGAGGAGGAGGGCGTGGCATGTGGTGTCAGCTCTCACTGTGGCACATCACTGCAGAGCCCGGCGACGTGGACAGTGCACGTGTAGTCGGTTCTGCAGACTTACAGCATCTTAGTGGGCGACTGACTCGAAGTCTCCTGAGGCTCGGTGCTGCGGGGCGGGAGGCTCGGTGCCTGCTGTGTGGGTCTCCCCAGGGGCTGCCGGGGTGACCGCCCAGCATGAGCTCACCCTGAGGGGGCCTCACACCTTTGTTCCCACCGCATCCATTCATTGGAATGAGTCGGCGGTTCCTGCCCACACCCACAGGTTGGGGGAGAATCACCCTCTACCTCTCGAAGGGGGCAGAATTAAAGGATTAGGGGACATACTCTGAAGCCACCACTGTGAGTCAGGCGGTAAGAGGCAGGTCGTAGAATGAGGAGGGGGTGATGATTCTGAGTAGTGACCAGCGAGGTGTCACCAGGAGAATGAGCTTTGCACAAAGGCCTGAAGTGGGAAAGAGAAGCAGCCGTTCGGGTTATGTTGGCAGGTCATGCTGACGAGTTGCCGATGAGCTGGATGCAGAGTGTGAGGGGAGGGGTGGGCCAGGGAGACTGTGGGCTCGGGCTGCAGCTGCTGGGGGCAGGCTCTGTCTCCCGAGGCGAGGAAGACCCAGTGGGGGGAGACCAGGAGTTGAGCTTGGTCAATTCGGGCCAATAGGCCTGTCCGATGTGTCCACGGGGACGTGCCAGGTCAGCAGGTTGGTATTCCAGCCTGGACCTGGAGGCGGTCTCCACTAGAGGTAAAGATTTGGGGATGATGAGCACACAGATGGCACCTAAAGGCATGAGACAGTAAAGTCACCAGTGGGGACCTGTTGATAGAAAGGGGGTCATGGGCTTTCTGCTGTATTTTAAGGCGAGAGAAGGGAGAGAGTGTTGTCAGGCTGATGGGAATGAACCAGCAGGAAACTGATTGTCCAGAGAGAGGGAAGAGTGACAGCAGGAGGTCCTGAGCGAGCCAAGGGTGGCGCAGGCCCCACGGCGGGGCATCCCCGGGAGGGCTGTGCTGGGACGGTGCAGCTGGGACACAGGGGGCGGGACCCTCAGCTGGGAGGGTGGAGAGGCGTGAGAAGACCGCAGCGGTGGGGGTCACCGCCACAGGGCGCTCCCTCTTCTGTGCGGCCTCTGGTCCCAGGCCACCTCCCATCGGACAGCGCACCTGGCTGAGCACAGAGGGGCCTTTCTGCGGGCAGGGTAGCTCTAGAAACCCCTGGGGCTCGGAAGGGCACATCCGCGGGGCTCGCTCTCCTTGCGGCTCTTTCCTGTGCTCCTTGGCACCAGCCTCAGGCGGGAAAGGGAGGATCGGGGGGCCCTAGGAACCCAAGTCACGTCACGGTGACACCGGTGCATGTCGTGGTCGCAAGGCGGCCCCAGCTGCTGTGGGTGTCATGAAGGTCCTCCCATGAGCCTGGCTGACCATGGCACGGGGGTGTTTTTGGTGTTCAGTTTTTGTCTCTGACTTGGTGTCACCATTGTGAGGAGAAATGCCTCCCAGCCATGTTTAGACATGGGGGCTGCACGCTGCAGGACAGGGTCTACTCTCCCTGGTCCTTGAATGAGACTGCCTGCCTGGGAGATGCCAGCAGCTTACAGTGCAACCCCACTTTCCAGTTTCCTTTGGGCTTCCCTTTAAAATTTTTAAGTTTCTGATAGGTTTTTGTAAGTTGCTCCAAATCTGGTTGTTTTCCATCTTGTTCACAGGTACAGACTCTGAACGAGCAGGACTGGGAGCGTGCCCAGCAGGCAAGTGTCCTGGCACATGTGGCTCAGGCATTCGAGAGTGACGTCGACGTGTCTGACAGCGAAGAGGACAGGGAGGCCCTCTTCAGCCCAGCTGGCCTGCTGTCACCCAGTGGGCAGGCCGACGCCCAGACGCTGGCCATGATGCTTCAGGAGCAGCTGGACGCCATCAACAAGGAGATCAGGTACACGGGTGGCACACAGCACCATCGGAGCCAAGTGTGCAAGGACTTGTATTCCACTGTCACTTCAATCTGTCTTAAGAATTTTGAATTCCAAGCTGCTCTTGATTGTAAGACTGCTCTGCTCAGTCATAGTGCTGGTGCATTTGCATATGAGCTCGTGGACAGTTGAAGGGTGCTCAGTCGCTTCCCCCACAGCTGACAGCATAGCTGAAGAGGCTACTGGGGCTCTCACTGTCCCCCTGGAATGCCCCCTGGGTGCCCCCGGGAAGCCAGGCCTGGTTCCAGGGATGGCAAGGCTCCAGGGTGCTGAGGACGCGCCGGCAGGCCTCTGTAATCGAAATCAGATGTGTGGGGCTGTGCGCCCCGTGGAGTGAGGATGAAGCAGCAGGATCGCTTTTGTGGGCAGTGCGGGGGACAGGGTGGCTGCCGGGGAGAGATGTTAGAGTGCAGTCCCTGGGCAAGTGAGGGTGATGCACGTGGGGGAGGCAGAGGGAGAGCTTACGCTCCCTGCAGTGCGAGCATCCCCCAGCTGTGAGGTCCGAGTGGGTGAGGTGCCAGGGTGCATCCTCGGGCCGGCTGTGCGCCCCTCAGGCCTCACAGCCGCCTGAGCAGAGGAGCGCGGGGTTCAGGTCGGCAGCTGCCCACGCGTGCCTGCGTCTCGCTCTAGTGAGTAACGCGTGAACATTGGTTCATTGTAGGGCAGTGGGAGGTCACAGGGTGTGTGTTTCAGTCTTTGTAGGCTCATCGGAGGCCGACGCCCAGACGCTGGCCATGATGCTTCAGGAGCAGCTGGACGCCATCAACAAGGAGATCAGGTACACGGGTGGCACACAGCACCATCGGAGCCAAGTGTGCAAGGACTTGTATTCCACTGTCACTTCAATCTGTCTTAAGAATTTTGAATTCCAAGCTGCTCTTGATTGTAAGACTGCTCTGCTCAGTCATAGTGCTGGTGCATTTGCATATGAGCTCGTGGACAGTTGAAGGGTGCTCAGTCGCTTCCCCCACAGCTGACAGCATAGCTGAAGAGGCTACTGGGGCTCTCACTGTCCCCCTGGAATGCCCCCTGGGTGCCCCCGGGAAGCCAGGCCTGGTTCCAGGGATGGCAAGGCTCCAGGGTGCTGAGGACGCGCCGGCAGGCCTCTGTAATCGAAATCAGATGTGTGGGGCTGTGCGCCCCGTGGAGTGAGGATGAAGCAGCAGGATCGCTTTTGTGGGCAGTGCGGGGGACAGGGTGGCTGCCGGGGAGAGATGTTAGAGTGCAGTCCCTGGGCAAGTGAGGGTGATGCACGTGGGGGAGGCAGAGGGAGAGCTTACGCTCCCTGCAGTGCGAGCATCCCCCAGCTGTGAGGTCCGAGTGGGTGAGGTGCCAGGGTGCATCCTCGGGCCGGCTGTGCGCCCCTCAGGCCTCACAGCCGCCTGAGCAGAGGAGCGCGGGGTTCAGGTCGGCAGCTGCCCACGCGTGCCTGCGTCTCGCTCTAGTGAGTAACGCGTGAACATTGGTTCATTGTAGGGCAGTGGGAGGTCACAGGGTGTGTGTTTCAGTCTTTGTAGGCTCATCGGCATTTTAAAGACATTTTCTTCAGAAACCTTAGCAGTTTTATTGGTAAATTTACAAAACCATGGCCAGCCATTGGGTAGAATCCAAAGAATACCTGTGTGTGATTAAGAGGCCTTGGATCTGGGGGTGTAGTGTGGCCAGGGAGCCCTGAGATCAGCCCCGTCTGTCAGACCCGACACAGCCACACCCCCATCCCGCCCTGAATCCACGTGAAGCAGCCTCAGCCTGTGGCCCTGCCATGGGCCCTGGGGCGTAGCTGCCCACGTCGTGCTCCCGAGAAGTCACACAGTCACGGGCGCCCGTCCTGGCCTCCAGGTGCGCGAGATAAAGAGCAGGAGGAGGTGGACAGGCGGACCTCAAAAAGAACTGCGGGCTTCGTAGCAAAAAGTAGCTCGTGCTGCCTACGTGTCGGCTTTGTGGGCTGGCTCTTCAGGCACCCTGTTCCCACCCAGGCAGCGTTGAGATTGTCCTTCCCATCATTATGGGAAACAGGAAAAGATATGCTTGAGCTTTTACTTGTTAAAATGTAGTGCAACTAAAGTTATTTTCTTTATGCAAAAAGCTGACCTGAAATAAATGGCAAAATCTATCCACTGACTTGTTACCAATAACTAAAAATACTTCTAGGATATGTAAGGAGAACTTGAATTGGAAAGGTTACTACAAGGATCCTGTATTTTAATATTAAAACAGTTACCTAGTCAAGCATGAAAACTGTTTAATCATCCTCTGTACATTAGGGGAGGAGAACATTAACCCCAAATGCCAAATTAATGTAGCACTGCTGACATAAATCCAGAAATTCAGATGAGGCTGGTAGAGATTTCCATCAAGTGATACTTTTGTTCAAACTCAATCTTGAAAAAAATTAACTCGGCGTTTCGTGTAGTCTAGAACTTAAGTGTTTGGAAACTCCTAATTGCTTTGTGGATTGATCCTTTGATTATACCAGAGATCCTGATTTCCGGTTGAAAAACTTGATACATAAATGTGTGCAGCTTTGCTCTGAGAATAGGGAAGGTAAGAGCTGTGAATTCAGGTATCTCATTGAAGAGAGTTGCCAACCAGCCTCCATCAGAATGTTAGTGTAAGTAAGTAAAATCAAACATGAATGATCAGAAGCAAATTTTAGGATTCAGTGATTTACATTGTGTTGTTCTAAAATCAAATATATTTAAAAAGATAAAAAAATAGAATATTGCTACTGAAGTGTTCCTGGAGCAACTGTTGTTGAAGTTTATCATAATACAGAATGCAAGCTCAGATTGTTATCCAGACACATTAACCTGTTTGCTAATGAAGGAAGGATGACCTGTTTTGTCTCATCTTAGGCTGATACAAGAAGAAAAGGAAAACACAGAGCAGCGGGCAGAGGAGATCGAGAGCAAGGTCGGCAGCGGGAGTGTAGACAGCCTTGGTCGTTTTAGATCAATGAGCTCTATCCCCCCGTACCCTGCCTCCTCGCTGGCTGGCTCCTCCCCGCCGAGCAGCGGGCGGTCCACCCCCCGCAGGACGCTGCACAGCCCGGCCAGGGAGGTGGATAGACTGGGCGTCATGACCCTGGTAAGTAGCGGCGGCGCCTTCTCCCTGCCGCGCCTCTCCCCCAGCGCACCTGATGCAAGTCATGGACACGCACTTGCTTTTTCCTTCCACCAGAAGAAAGTCAGGTGTGTGTGCTGTGCTCAGAGGCTCAAGAGTTTTTAAGGCAGCTGGCATTTAGCCGTTCAGCAATGATAGCACAGCGACCATCGATGTTTGGGTGGCCAGGTCAGCTGTCAGCATGAACTCGTCACGCCTTTATCCGTGCAGCCTTGGGTGTGGGCCTGGGCCGGAACAACAGCTGCGAGGGGGAGTGCTTTTGTTTTTTAGGAATAGACAGCTTGACAGAGGGAAGCATAGGCGGCCGTCGTAGCGTATGAAGAATGCACAAGGAGCCGAGCCGGCTCCCGTATATCGGGAGCGCCCGACTGGAGCATTCAGGGTGCGCAGCGAGAGCCGCAGAGATGGACCCGAGTCGGTCCTGTTGGTCATGCTCTCGGCAGCGCGCTCCACGCCAGCGCTGCGCGGGGCCGGGCCGCGCCCCCTGGTGACCGCGCGTAGCTTTGAAGGCTTCTCCTGACTTCCCCGCGCGGTTCAGGTTTGTGCGCGCCCTGCCCGGTTATCGCCGGGACTCATAGTCGCAGCGTTCTGCTTTTTAGCTGCATTTCTAAGTTTTTTCTGTCACTGTCATTTTTATTGTTAGCTGCATTGTTAGCCAGCATGTAATTAATTCAACTATGAATCATTTTAGTGGCATATGGAGTGGTAACTAATCCATTTTGTCATATTTTGACATACTATTTTTTAATAATTTACCTAATTACCTAAGTAGCTAATATTTTTAACTCCTTGACAATTTTATTTGTGGTTTCATGCTTCTTCCCTTCCAGAAAATTTTTAAAAATAGTTCTGTATGGTTTTTCCCTTGTTTTTGTGGTTCTGGGTGCCCCTAACAATAGCTGCCTCCTTGATGGGTTTTGATCTCCTGTGTCATCGTTTGTTCGGCTTACTGTTGTGCCCCTCCCAGCCCCCCGCATGCCCACGGCGTGCTCCGCCAGGGCTCATTACAGGGGCCGACGCTTGCTCCTCATTTCTCGTTAGCGTGTCCCCCCAGTAGCGGTGAATTAACTAGTGTTCATTGTGTAATAGATGTGGGTCGGGCGTGATATAGATCAGTGTTTTTACTTTTATGCAAACTATGTAGAATATGTCTAATTCATAAATGAAATGTTTCTTATATAGAGAAATAATGCACCAAGTATAGAAGTAATCAAAGGTTGACACATGTATTTTCTGGTTTTGATGCTTGTGTTCAAGACTGTAAATCTCATCAACTTATTGAATATGCACAATTAATGCCTTTAATTGACTCTTTAAATTAAAATCTTATATGAATCGTAGAATATAAAGATTCTACCTACTTCTATGCCAGCTTTTATTCTTACATATTTTCACAGGATACCCTGCTTTAATCAATATATTTATTTTTGAAAAGTTTTTAATCAAATTCTAGCTAAGGATTTTATGTTAATGTCCAATAGGTAATTAACTAGAGGTAGCTTTGTTCAGTACTATAATAGGTATTACAGTAACTTTCTCATCAAATAGATTGGTTTTTTTTTTAATATAACATGTTTTTCATTAAGGAAAATGAGTCACAGAGAAATTTGACTTAAAATAGACAACTGTTAGGGCCCTTTGTCATATAGAATGCTGTATTTTAATAAACTGTGTATGTTGTAATAGAATTTTATCTTCCTGAGCAATACTGTGTACTGTTTCTCTAGTAAGTCTTGAATAACTCACTGTATTTAAATTTGTGGTGGAAACAATTGTTCTATTTCTAGTTACATTTTCTCTAAATCTTATCTCAGTTACGTCTGTCCTGTCATTCTCTTTTTAATGTGTTTGCCCGTATTGATCCTTGAGTTTTTAACTTCAAAGTGTATAGTAAGTCTGGTTTCTGTTCATTTCTTTGCATGCTTCTATCAGCCTAGTGACTTAAGGAAACATCGCAGAAAGGTAAAACATCTAGTGACTTAACAGACTTCTGTTTCTCTTTGACTGTTAAGGAGTACCTGTCATTTCCCATCAGTGACCACTGTGCAGCTGTGGAACAATGAGTAACTGACGTTTTATCCAAAGGGCCGCATGACGAGTGCTCTGTGGGGACAGGCTGGGCTGTTTTTGTGGACTTTGGCCCTGACAGAAGAGTGTGCCGGCCTCCTGCTCGCTGGCCTTCTTCTCATTGCCTGCTTATTTGTAATAGATGTAATATTTATTAAATGAGAAATCATGAAGCAGAGCCACGAATTACTGGGAAAAACCCATTTCAGTAGCCAGAGGCAGCAGCGTCTCCTAAGCTCTTACCCTGTGCCAGTCCCCGGCTGAGTGCTTTGTGAGTCTTGACCTCATAGAATTCTCACTCCTCATAAACTTCCTGTGAGGTACAGGTCACTGCTGTCAGCCCCGCTTTACAGATGTGGGGACTGAGGCTCAGGGCGGCCGGGCACTAGCGCCCAAGGCTGTGCAGGCGGTATGCAGTGTGGGTGTGCGGTCTCAAAACCCGCACCTTAGGCCCTTCGCCACCTGGCCTGCCTTTCCTCCGGAGGCTCACTTCTCCTTTACAGCGTCCCTGGTAGGGGCGGGTCAGGGCCCTGCCCTGCACGGATGACCATGGTGGTGCCTCCCAGGTCTCGGAGGAAACACGCGTTAAGGAACACATCTGCTGACCGAGGTGTCTTCCTCATAACTCTTGAACTCTGTTCTCTAGTCTGTGCCGCTGTTAAAACCTGCCTGACTGTGCACCTAAAGGAGCCCTTCGGATAGGTCAGGCAGCTGTCCTCTACCAGGGCAGCGCAGTGCAGGGGCGCTGGCAGCCATGTGAGCCCCTCCACCTTGTAGGGCGGTGTCTTGGTTTAACTAAATTCTCTGGTTCAAGCCCCATGTTAAGGGAAGACAGCAGTAGAACTGCGCTTCTTGGGGTGGGCCTGTCTGCATGGGCCACATGGGGCCAAGGCACTTAACACCAGCAAAGAGGCTCAGCACACCCTCGGTCCTGCTGACTCATATTTGTGTTTTTCATGGTAGTAAGACTTTCTCAGTGAAAGAAGAAGCATGTCGATTTACACCCAAGCAGGACAGCCTGATCCTATGTTGCTATGGTTACTTGAGCTCACTGACTGGCTACTTTGAGGGCCTACCATGGGGTTGCTGGGAATGTGAAATCAGGCGTGTGCAGGAGTGCCAGGCACGGTGCAGACATGGCCTGCGTGTGCCGCTCATTGCCCTCCAGGAGACATTAGGAAGGGTTTGCTGTGCTTGTGTGGCTTGTACGTGGAAGCTGGGGCGGGCCTTCCCTCATGGATCCACTGGCCTCTGTCCACAAGGCCACCGCAGTCACGCGTGTCACCCCTCATCTGTTCTCTTTTATCCTCTTCCATTTTTTACAAATCATGGTTGTAACCTGAATTTGAAATCTGTCCCTGTTAACTTTAAGGTTGATCATTTCTTGTTTTTGTTGTCTGATGATTGTAATAAGAAATTGGGAGAGGATGCAGAATTTATCCAGTTATTGCTTAAGATTATGTCTTAAATGAGTTCAGCTGCACCCGATCAGCTTGGCTGTCACCAAGCCCCTGCAGGCTGCAGTGGATTGGTGTTCATTACACAATCCCATTAAAAAAGTACAGGTTAGCTGCTCAAGTCTCATCATTTACACAAGTTTTTTTTGCCTTCCACATTTTATGAAATCCAGCCCAGTCTTAAACAACCACACACCCCAGATGTGTAAGGTAGACCTGGCTAGACCCGAAGGGGTCAAACCGCTCCTCGGTGCTGTCCCCACCGCTCTCCTTTCCCAACTCACATTCCCTCACAAAAAGAAAAACTGGGCACCTGAAGGACATCACCTTTTAGTAAAAACCTAGGATTCCTTCGTCTAAGCCATACTGAACAGATTGTTTTTAAGCTGCATCTAAGTAGTTCATAACATCCAATCTAAACATTATGGAGAAATTTAAGCCAGACACATGTGCATTGGGGGTGGAGGGCTTAGATAACCTTTTCACTTTTTGACTTGTTGTGGATTCCAGTAATGTGCTTCATTACTAAAAAATGATGCTGGATCCTGAGACAAGCTGTTTCTTCCCTCACCTCCGCTCCCCCCACCCCCCAAACAAGAAGGTCTGGACGGCTTCTCCCAGCAGTCTCTCCCTTGCCAGAGTTTTTGAATAGCACCAAGAGGTGAATCCTTTTCTCTTCGGCCTTTCATGGGGACTGTGGTTGGGAGTGACGTGCTTCAAGTGTGGTCCAGATCCCTTTGCCCCTCCGGGACTGTCCTCACAGTGGCACAGGATTCTGGGGAGGGCAGACCCTCAGGTCGTGTGTGGAGGCCCGGAGTCGGGCTGCTCTGTGACCCTGCCTCTCATAAACCTGCCAGTCCTTCAGCATGGCACTAGGCTGAAACAAGGCTTTTCGTACTTGGTAGAAAGCAGAGCTAATAGGTTTTCAAGTAAGTTTACAGTTGTAATTTTAAACTTAGGTGGTTTTTCTTTTCTTTTTGGTCACAGTTAATTATTAACTAATTTTATCCTTACTGAATCCTACAGTTGCCAGCTTCTCGAGAAGAGGTACGAGATGACAAGACAACGATAAAATGTGAAACCTCACCCCCACCATCCCCAAGATCCCTCCGGTTGGACAGTCCGTACAAAGGAGCACAGCACACGGTCAGCCACGAGGATGTCAGGGACGCGAGAAAGTAAGGACCGTGCCCTGCTTAGAAACTGCCCCCCACTTAGAAACTTCCCGTCTTCAGTTCTAAGGAGTCGTTTAATCTTCTGGAGAAAAATGAACAATGATGTTAAAGAAATACCAGTTAAATCAGTTGCATTTACTTAACGGTAATCCTGGGATGCTGGCCACTGCTCGGGGCACACACAGGGAACCCAGAGAAGATGCGTGTCTGTTTGGGCAAAAGTCAGTTTGGGAAGAAAGGAGTTAAATGATATCAGCAGTTTTAGTTAAACTTCATTGCTTCAGATTCTACAAATTGACTGTTTATAGAACTTCCATTCTAGATGGAGCATTTATTTGCCCAGCACGGCATATTTCTGATGCTGCCCCTCCGAGGACAGCCGGTGTGTCTTGGGTACTCGCTCATGCCTTTGTGACCTGTTGACTGTTGTGTGTCATCCTCACCCGTGCACCCAGTGCTTCCTCTCGAGAGACCACTGGAAATTGTTCGTTCCTAATCTGCTCCGCAGACGGCCCCCTGCTGAGTTCTTGTTCTAGACCAGGTAGTACCTGGTGGAGGGCAGGAAGGTCAATCCTTAGAGCGACCTTGCAGCCGGTTACAACCACTGTCCTTTCTGGCTGAGGAAAGTCACTCTCAGGGAGGTGGCTGGGGCTCTGAGGGGACGGGATCCTCCTCCCGGACTGAGGGTGACCCTCAGGGGTCAGCAGGGCTCTGTGCATTAGACGGCTGGGAGTCGGAGCCCTCCAAGGAAACAGAGCTCCCTTCCCAGAGAACCTCAGCTTCCCAGACACAGGTCTGTGTTGTGGGGCCACGGGAGCCTACCTGTCTGTGCATAATGCCCTTTGGGAAGAAGATATGCACAAAAGAGGCTTGAAATTTTTGTGAAGTTGGGAGGATGAGCATTAAAAATGTGGGGTGTTCTGGTTCGTGTGAAGGGAGTATTTTGTTATGATGAGGTCACTTGTTAAAGATCCTTTTCTGTCCCTGAAGCTCTACGGGCTCCCAGGATGGCCCTGTGAGCAATCCCAGCAGCAGTAACAGTAGCCAGGACTCGCTCCACAAAGCCCCCAAGAAGAAGGGCATCAAGTCCTCCATTGGCCGCTTGTTTGGCAAGAAAGAAAAGGGCCGACCTGGACACACCGGCAAGGACTCTTTCGGGCAAGGTCAGTGGTTTCCATCAAACTCTTTGCCCCCGGGGGTGAGCAGGGGCAGGCCACCATGTGTGGGCCTCCATGGACCCCGCCTCCCTGCAGGCGGGCTGCTGTCCAGGAGGCAGAGTGGGGAGGCCCGCGCTGCCCTCGGGCTGGGGGCCAGGGAGCCAAGGCCGGCGCCTGTCTGCCTCTGTGCCCTGAGCACTCCGTGCGCTGGGCGTCCAGTCAGAAACACAGCCGTCAGAGCGTTTTTCGCTCCGCCTGCCAATAGTCTTCCGCCGGCCCAGCAGGCCCCTGGCCCGGCCGCGTCGGCCTCTCTGCGCCAAGTGGCCACTCTCCTTCCTTGCAGCTGGTGTCTCGGAGACAGAGAGCTCGTCTCAGGGTGCCTTGGGGCTCAGCAAACTGGGAGGACAGGCTGAAAAAGACCGTAAACTGCAAAAAAAGTAAGATTTTGTTATTTGTCTATCTCGCTGAACAGTTTAGCAGTTGTTCCTAGTTTTTGACTAACGTTTATTAGATGTAATATTTATTTATTGATGTATTACATAGCTACATATATATATTATCTTCTGAAAGATTAACCTAAAGCCTTTTTTAAACTGGGCCATCTAGAGGGCTTAGAGCATTTAGGAAATTTAGAAAGGGCTCACACACACGGACTCCCAGTCCATTCCTGGGAAGTGACCTTGTGGGAACATATGTTGCAGAGTGGGGCCTGGCGTCAGAGCCTCTGAATCTGCATCCTGACCCCTGCACAGGTGAGCTTCGGGGCTGGGAGGTTACTGAGCACTCCTGTGCTCCGCGTCTCATGTCGATAAAGTGGCGGTGATGGCAGTGCAGCCCTCACGGGTTTGGGGACTATTAGATATGTGCATGTCTACATAAATAGACACAAAGTGCTTTAAATGGGCCAGCACATTGTAAAATATATGTAACTCTATGTAGAAGTACGGCCACTATGGGGACTTGATATCCAGCATTCAGAATTTGCCATTTATACTAGTGACCTGTTGAATAGCCACTGACTATGGTGTCCTTTTTAACTCCTCTGATAGGTTTTATATTTTTATCTTAAAGAGACTCAGTTGAGTAGTCTGTTCATTGAATTCTAATTCTGAATTGTCTTGATTTTGAAAATAAGTAGTGACATTGGGAATCAGTTTCTAGAAAGGAGCTCCAGCTTGGTGACGCCCAAGGTGAGGCGCCTAAAACCAGGGGGAGGCAGACACTGCCACTGCCGTGCTTCTCTGGGTTTGTTCTCACCCAAGCAGGTTGTGTGGCGTGTGGGTCAACCACACCCATACGCAGAGTTACGCAGACGGTCGAGACAGCATCCTGATGAGCTGACAACTGAAGACCGAAGCCGAGCCCTCCCTTGCGCGGAAGAGGCCATCGGCCCTCAGAGGCACGGCGGGCGGGGCGAGGGGCAGAGGACCGGCCCCGAGGAGGTTGTGTTGCTGGGCCCTTGCCCCTCGGGCCCTCGCGGGCCCTGTGACACGTCTGGTCGGGGAAGAGTCACCTGGCCGCTCTCTCAGGCACCCCGAGAAGCCAGCGCTGGGCTGGCACTGGGGTGAAAGCTGCTGGCCCCCCAGGACGGCACTTGAGTCCTGGGGACGCCCCCTGCTAGAGGTCAATTCGCCATTAGCTCGGGCTGCCAGTTCATCTTTCTTCCGTGAAATCTGCCTCCTTTTAGTGCTCTTCTCAGGAACCATGGTGATCATCTTGACTGGCTTCCTGTTGATCATATTACCCGTGAAACGCTATTAATTACTGCTCACAATACCACAGCAATACTCAGTCTGATGGCTCTCTAAATGGAAATCTGTAAAAACCACTTGGCAGCAAAATCTGATTTGAATGTTGGGATCTTTGTATAAAATGTTTCCAGTGACTCGGGCGATCGCCCTTTGGCTTATGTGAGGCATGCGAGGCGTAACAGCAGAGCTTGGCCTTTGCCTCTGGCAGCCGCACCAGGGAAATGCCAAGCCTTAGGTTTGCTACTGTTTTGTTTCGCAACCTCCTACTCTCTGAGGTTCGGGGCTGTGCCCTCTGGGCCTCCCACCCTGCTGCCCACAAGTGTATGTTGCACATGAGATCGAAAGTAGTATAATTCGGCCAAAATGTTCCCCTCTGTTTTCTGCATTTATTTTGTGATTCTCCAGGTGTATGCTTTAGCACCTAGCTGCATGAGAACAGCCCTCCTTGGGTTATCTGCCCCACCCGGATGTGATCAAATTTCTCACTGGGGGCGTGTGTACATGTTGCTGGTAGGTGGGTTTCTGTGGAGCGATGATGCTCAGACTGATGGCATCAGCTGGGGACTTACAACTCTGTGTGACCGTCATAGCTTGTATCTCAGTGTTTAAGAGTGGGTCATTCTCTGTACGCTGTGGTCATGCATGGCAAGTTGTAGAATGTGCTAGTAAGTTAAGAGGGACAAAATCAAAGTATGAAGGCTATTTGTCTGACTACAGTGGGTAATTTTAGTTCTGTCAGTTAACCAGAGATAAAATTGACTTTCGGAAAAATGCTTTATTTATAAATGTGAAAAAATTTGAGTTATCCAGAAAAAAAATTGTTCGAATGCAGTTTAACATTTATAGCATTATAGTTGTAAGGATCAAGACATATTTCTCAAAGTATTTTCTTCTTATTAACCCCTGATTTACCTCTCATGTGTGTTTTTAACTGCTTAATTTGCCCAGCCAAATTCATTCACTTTAAGAGAATTTCCAAGGACCTGGTGAATCTGATGGAGAGCTGACCTTCAAGTTTTCTGACAGCTACATAAAGCACATTGTGGGCACATTGTGCCTGACATGCTTTGAGAATCCCGGGAGGACACAGCTGTTGGGAATTAGACGTCTGGTGTTGAGCGCACAACAGGGCTTCCACGGTATTCGTGGAATTCCCTGATACTGTTTGGATGCGGTCTCTCTAAGAAGCTTGTGTTTTGAACGCTCTTTCCCTTTTCTCCTCGGTTGACACTGTAGTGTCACCGGCGAGCTGACTCTGTGGTTGCAGCCGAGCGTGCTGAGTGGCGGACAGCCTGCAGCACTGGCTGCCCCAGCCCCCTGCCCCAAACCGAGCTTGCCCGGAGTCTCGGTGGTGCTGACGGGACGCGGCACCTCCACTTTCCTCTGTCCCGCACCTCTGCAGCGCACCGTGCGTGTGGGTGAGGAGCGTGCTGCCTGCTCAGAGAGCCGTGTCCATGCAGCGCGGCCCAGGGAGCTTCATCCAGACGTGGTAGATACAGTGTTAAAAGTGTCAGTCTAAAGGAAATAAGACAATGTCTGCTATTTGGATGGTACCATTTATGCAATATTTGAGCTGCAAAAGGTCATATGCAGTTTTTTACAAAAGACAACTTTACCAGTGTGCTTATGTCCTAATCATAAAATGTGTGTCATTATTCAGAGATTACATGACTTTCTCTCATACCCAAGCCTGTTCCCCATAGAATTTAGCATATTTCTAAATGTCCTTCTCCTGCTACTCTTAATTTTAAGGCTAGGAAGCATGCCATGTCAATTTACTATTAGATCACTCTCAGGTACCCTACTCCACTCCGCAAGCGAGGAGGCCTCTCAGGCTTGTCTCCTGAGTCCAGCCGACCTTGAACAACACAGGGGTTAGGATTGTTGACCCCCACACAAAGATCTGCATATAACTTGTCACTCCCTAGAAACTTAACTACTAATAGCCTACTGTTGACCAGAAGCCTTACCAAGAATATAAACAATTAACACATATTTTGTATGTTATATGTATCATATACAGTATTCTTAAGATAAAGTAAGCTGGAGAAAAGAAAATGTTATTAAGAAAATCATAAAGCAGAGAAAATAAATTTATAGGACTATACAGTATTTATTGATGACATGTTTACTTTGTTTAGTCTGTTTACAAGATGAACTGTCAGTGTCTTCATCAGTATTGTCTTACATGACACAAAACACTATAGGTATTATATAAATACCACTAATGCTAGACATCAAAGATGAAAAGATAATGTGAAAAAGAAATTCGTATTTATTTGCAGGGATAGCAGTTCACACACTGATAACAAAGAAGCAGTGACATAATCACTTTATGATGGCTTCAGGGAACCTAGCCTGAAAACTCATGAATAATTGTTAGAAGATTTTCACAGCTACAATATTACAGTCATACAAAATATGGCATTGAAAACATTGTTACTTTTTATAAAAAACCACTTTGCAAGTGATGATAGGCAGTTTCTCCAACTCCAAAAGAGAGTCCAACTGTACTGTAATGTTAATTCTTTGAAAGCAAAGTTATAAAACAGTAAGGAAACTAACATGCTATTACTTTTGTATTAAATATGCACTTTGTGCCTGTGTAAGGATGGCCCTCCACCTCCATACAAGCCTTATGCCCGATGTTCTGCACGGTGAATGCTCAGGTGAGCGTCGCACAGCTCTTGCCATGGTTCCTAGATTTTCACATGAAGACGGGCACAGGCGCAGACGCGGCAGGCCCCCTTACCAGCTGCAGCGCGAGGATCGCTGACTGCTCACAGAGTGGAGATGGGCTGCCCTAGCGGTCTCCCTCCTTGCGGTCTCCACACTGAGCAGGCGGGGAGCGGCCTGTGCTGCCCCTGGGAGGGCGGGGGCGGGGGGCACACGCACACTTGGCCTCACTTCACAGACACGCGCGCGTCGTCGTTCCGGCTCCTCGCTTTTTCTTCCCCTGAAAGCATTTCTGCGTGGCACTAGTCTGTCTCCCATCTTTGGTCCAGTTTCAGCGCCCGTGTCGTGGGAGGGTCCCTGTTATAAAAGAAGCCAGAAGCGGTCTTGAGCCATCAGGACGCCCCCGCCACGTCGCCAGCGGCGTCTCCTGTGTCTCCTTCCTCATCGCCTGGCCCTGTTCAGAGGCACTCGCCTCGGCCAGGTCCTCTTCTGTTCATCCCTGTGGTGTGGTGTCTGTTAGCTCTTCATTCTCCAGGAAACATGTTTTGAAACCCTTCACCCCCACCATTTTTGCCATATCCACGGTCTCCTTTATGATTCCTTGATCGGCTCTGTCGTAAATCCTCATGTGCAACATCTGTTCAGTTTTCTCCAGCCAGAATTTACTCCTGGGGACTTGTGGTCTTTCACAGCTTTTCTGTGACAATGACAGCCTCTTCAGTGGTGGGCTCCTCCCAGGCTTTCACGATGTCCTCTTTATCGGGGTGCTCGTGCATGCCGTAGTCCTCTCCATAGAGTACTGTGTAATGACACGAGCCCCGGATCTAGAGACTAACTTAGAGACATCATGTTTGGGGGCAAGCAGGCCACTTTGACACCTTTGGTGTTAAACTTAATGAGTTCTGGGTAGCCAGGGGCATTGTCCAGTATCAAAGGAACCTTAAAAGGCAGTCCCTTACTGGCACAGTACTTCCTGATGGCAGGAAAAAACATCGATGGGCCCGATGCAGGAAAAGTGATTGCTGTTATCCAGACCTTCTCCGTACAAGCCAAAAGACTGGCAGCTGGTGTTCAGCTGGTGTTTCTCTCTCCCTCCGAGGCTGGGCTAGCAGCTTGTAGATAGAGGCATCCTGATCATAAACCACACTGCATTTGCCCAGCACGGTAATTAGCCTCCCCTGCCTGCCTTAACCCAGCCCTCACTTCCCCTCCTTACACTGGTAACAGCCCTTTGTGGCATTTTGTTCCAGAGTAGGGCACTTTTGTCTGCATTAAAAACCTGTTTAGAAGGTGCCTTCTTCCTCAGTAATTTTCTTAATGGCATTTGGGAACTTCTCTGCTGCCTCTTGGTTGGCAGAAGCTGCTTCTCCTGTTATCTTGATACTTTTTTGCCAAGCCTCTTCCTAAGTCATCCTTTGCTGGCCCCGAGTTCTCCTGCCATAGACCCTGCACCTACCTTCTGCTTTCAGGTATCATATCACGACGTCACTTTTTCTCAAATCCTGTTAGAGTCTACAGGTGTGCCTCCATAATAGCAGTCCTGCACCCACATAAAAACTGCATTTTCTATACCAGATAAAAGGGTACCTCTCAAAAAGTGCAAGGTTCTACACTGCCAGCGTAGCTGCAGCAACAGCTTCACAAGTTTCTTTTCTCTTTTTTTCTTTTTAAACAATGGTGCTTATGCTGGATTCATTTATCTTGAAATAGCAGACAACCACCACCTCCTGCCTCCATCTGCAGTACACACCAAGCCTCTTCATGGGATCGGGAGCCAGCGCCCAAAGAGGAGAGGGGTGCTTGTGTTCCCGCCTGTGGTGGCATCCTAGGGTCCAGTTCTGTGTTTCGTCTTCCAGGTCATGGACTGGGCTGATGGGAAGGGGTGCGGGGGGGGGGCAGCAGGACCTAGGGGACTGGGGTCTCCTGCGCCTTCTTGCCGACCCCCCACATCTTGTCTTCTCTCGCACATCATTTGGTCTCCACCACCTTGTCCCAGGTTCGTCAGGAGGTACATCTGTGCTGGAATCCCCAGAGGTACATCTGTGCTGGAAAGGGCCTTTAAAAAGCGAACCACCAGGTAGAAGGTTCAGGTAAAGTCAGAACCACATGCACCAAACCCAGGTAACGGAATTACCAGGCTGTTTCAGCGCGGTGGTCCTTGATTATAGGGAATGTCTGCTTCATCAAGAACAGTGAGGTCTCTGGCAGAGTGCTGAGGATTCATACCTGCCTCGTTCACTTCAGAGCGTGGATAGTCTGGAAGCCCTGCCTCCCTCAACCACACCAGGCTGGTCAGGACTGAGCGCCGACGGGTCCACCTGCCGATTAGCAGTTCCTAGTGCTCTGTGGTCGACGTAACTCGTGCGTTTGCCTGAGATGCAGCCCAGTCTTGGAGGAGAATTAGTCCTTGGGAAACAGAGCAGCGTTTCCTCCGCCCACTGGCCCGACAGTCCTTGCCACCCAGCGAGACCCCTTGCCACCTTATGCCAGCCAGCGCTGGGGTCCTGTGCCAGGGTGATCATAGTGCTGGTTGACTTAGTTTCTTATTTATGAATAGTTTTGCTTATTTTAATTAGAAGAGTTTGCCCCTTTTTTTATTTCTCAAGAGCTATTACGATATTTGTTGTGTTCTCTGGTTCCTTAAATAATTACATTATTTATTATTCCCAGGAAACTTACAGTTGACTTAGGGAATACTCTTGAATTTTATGTGAAACATTTTGAGCTTTAATTGTGCATAGATTTCACAGTCTTGAAAAAAGTCTTAATACTATTATATGTTAAATAGCCAACATATATCTTTAGAAATAAGGGATTCAGGAAGATGTTCTGCAGAAATTATTTCAGAAAAATAACAGACTAAAAATGACCTTGGAATTTAAATGACTTGGGAATGTTCAGGCATGTGCAGTAAATTGACCTGCCCTCTCCACTCCAATCCCATCTTCTCTACTAGGCTTTCCATTTTTTAAAAGAATTAGTATCTTTTAGAAACCCTTGTAAGTAAACAACTTACTTAGAAGTTCATCAAGCATATTGTGTTATTTCATACATAACTGTGTTATCGGTAGACAAACTCATTTTAAAGATTAGGAAAATTAAAAGTGTTGATATGGTACAATTATGGTTTGAGTATTTTCAGTTCAGGCATATGGAATATTTCTGACCCCACGAGGGGTCCCGGCCTCCTCCCCGCTTCCTGCCCTGAGGTAACTGGTGTCCCATCTGTATCTGAGGCTCACCGTCTGTGCTGTGTGTACTGCTCACAGTTGTTGGGATGTAAACTGGATGCAAAGCCTGTGGACTACACCACAGGATGGCCCCGTGGCCTAGAGCTAATGGCCAAGGAGCGGTGCAGAGCAGAACTGCCGGCAGCCCGCCCCGCACGTGGCCCGCTGTGCTAGACCACAGGGGGTGTTAAGCTCTGCGTTGTTCACTGTGGTGTCGTCGTTAAATGCTGGGTATTTTTTGACGCTTTCATGGGATGCTCCTTTGTTCAAAACCAGGGATAGTCTCCTCTCCTACACAGTTTCCTCCTTGTTCAAAAATGGAAAAGTGGTTATGTTCCTTGAATGACTTGGTAATAATTCTTTAATTCTGCATTTCCTCATTCAGGCTGTATTTGCAATGTATACCAAGTACCGCTAAGTGGGCCGTGTGGCATCACACTGGCATGTAATGTGGCGACGACTTAACTTTGAATGTCTCGTTTGTAGGCATGAATTGCTCGAAGAAGCCCGAAGACAAGGTTTACCGTTTGCACAGTGGGACGGGCCGACCGTCGTCGTCTGGCTGGAGGTGCGTCCCTCTGGTGCTGGGCTGAGTTCGTTACATATGTGGAAAGATTGAGCCATTTGTGCACTGTGCATGACCTTCTGGCCTTGACATTTCCCACCTCCAGCTCTGGGTTGGGATGCCAGCCTGGTACGTGGCTGCTTGCCGGGCCAACGTGAAAAGCGGGGCCATCATGTCCGCCCTGTCAGACACAGAGATCCAGCGCGAGATCGGCATCAGCAACCCCCTGCACAGGCTGAAGCTGCGGCTGGCCATCCAGGAGATCATGTCCCTGACGAGCCCCTCGGCGCCGCCCACGTCACGAACGGTAGGCTTCCTGAAAAGAGTTCGTCCAGTTTGTGCCGCTTCTCTGGTTCCCTCTGCACAGACCCAGTGTTCCGGTTCAAAATGTTAGCATCCAAAAGCATTATGATTCTAATTTGTAAGTTGGGTAAAAAGAAACTTCATTGAATACTTTTATAACAGTTTGGCTATAGTGGCATTATAGAAATGAGAGGTTTTTGAATATGTAGGAAAGTAATTGTCACAAATTTAAATGTAAATTATCGACAGTGAAGGGGAAAAAGCTTAGCTCCCAGTTGCAATGTAACCGGCATTTCCCTCATTGTGTGGCCTGGAGGTGCTTCCCCGGGGGCTCTAGACCTGGGCACTTCGGCCACTCAGCAGACAGCAAACGTACAGGCGCACACCGGTGTACCAGGCGGTGTCTGTGCTCAGACCTAAGACGTCAGAAGTCCTAAAAAGGGCCCTCCTAGTTGGAAGAGTCAAAACCTAACCTCAGGAGAACATTCGTGGTATTGGGAGGTAAGCCAGGCCAGCTCCTCGTGAAGCACAGGCTGTTCCTGCCACCTGGCTCCCCCTCTGTGCTCAGTCCGCCCTGGACAGAAGAGCCCTCTGACGGGGAAGCGCAGAGCCTCGGGCGGCTGGTGAAGGCCTGAGTCTGGGCACAGAGTCACTCTGCACACGAGGGTCACAAGCTCTTCTGTTTGCGTCTCTTGTGAGCCAGTGTTGGCAGCACAGACTGAGAGCTGGCAGCCAAATGTTTCAAGTTAGAGTGTCCTTTCTAGAAATAAAGGTGCTGGGTGGGTTTCCCAAAGTTCTGTACACCATCTTGACAAGGTACTTAAGTACGGCAAGGAAGAGCAGCCCCCGAGGAAGCCCTGCGCCCCAAGGCCCAGCAGGCCTCCCCCCTCCCGTCCCAGGGCTGCGGTGCCTAGGCGGGGAGGGGCGCCCACGTGCACACCCAGATGGCTGGGCCTTCTTCTTGATGTCCTCACCCCTGCCCCTGCCTCTTGGGCTCCCCCGAGCAAGGGTGCCAGAGGCGCCAGCGCACCCGCTGACTCCGCCCTGCGCCCTGTGACTCAGGGCCAGGCCCTGTCCTGTGCTCCTTGTGCCGGGCTCAGGTTGGAATATGTCAATGCAACAGTCAACTTGGGAATCACCGACACTCCTCAAAAGTACAGACTGTATTTCTTCTCTTTGTATTTCACACGTCATGTGGCAAGCGTGGCAAACAGAGCACTAGAGACCGTGGGCTGCCCCGTTGTGGGTGACACCATGCTGTCAGGCACAGTGTTTCTCTGAGGGGGGCTGAGTTTGTGTGACTGTCTGTCCCTGTCCGTGTGGCCACCTAAAGTGCGAAGGCGAAGAGCCCGGCCTTTGCCCCACCTGCCCCTCCTGTGTGCCTGTGGCTCACGTGTCTGCCACCTCTCCTCTTTGTCACTGCCGCCCTTGCCTGGGATGTGGTCGGCCACGGGGTCGCCCTAGACCACAGGAAATGTCTGGTTAACGCACGAGGAGATGGAGACGCTTGCAGCCACGCCTCAAACGGTCAGTCTCTGCCTGAGCTGGTCTTCCCCTCAGTACACCCTGCCCAGAACCGCACGAGTCTTGGCCTTTTTTTGGAAAACAGAAATGTTAGTTTACATTAAAATGTTCTGCATAAGTATTTACTTCAGGTATCAGTTAAAAGTAAAAAGCAATTCATGTTTCATCTCTAGGCTTTCTCGGGAACTTAAAGCTGTAGACTCACCCTGTGTAGCATAGAGTTCGTCCACACCTCCCTGGGGAGAGACCTTGGTTTAGCACCCCGTTGTGATGTTCTGACCCTCGTTTTCTCCTTTCACGGATGTGCTCGCGTGGGCCGCCGGCTCCTCGCATGAGAGTCGGAGTGGACGCTTCTGCATGGCTTGTGCACGGCGCTTCGATCGCTTTGGGCTTTCCTGCTCGCTCACGCCGCGCCTCCCCCCCAGCCGCCCGCCCGCACTAACGGTTATGTTCTTTTCATTCCTAACCACGTAACGTCAGGAAGATGAGGAGGGAAGCTGGGCTCAGGTTGGAGACTTTCTATAATATATTCTTCACTATATGTACAGCAACAAAAAGAATTGGAGTATGAAAACTTATAATTTACTTTTCTTGACATTTTTAACATCTTTATTTAGAATGTTGTTAATGACTTAAGGTGTTAGTCTAAGCAAAGCATAGGATTAGAGAGTACGTCTCATGGACAATTTTGAACATTTCTCGTGTGGAGCCGTGGTGGTTAATGCTGATTGACAGATTGCTTTGTTCAATGTATGGCTTTTATACAAAGTCCTGTGGCTGGCAGCTCCTGAGGTTATATATTTTGGTCCCTGGTGGGATAGCTTTTATTACAAGATGTAATGGGAAAAGTGTATTCTAATAAATTTTCCATGTAAGGGTTGTCTTTGTGGGGGTGTTGGGGGTGTTACTATCCTAATACTGTAGTGATCTAAATAAAGGCTTTCTCACTAATGGAACCCTCAGAAATTAAGCCTCTTCGTGTTAAATATGCATTTGAATTTTTAGCTCCTCGCCCTTCAACTCACAAAAAACTCTGTCACAAGTGTTTTACAGCCTCACTCTGATTAAAAACAGTGGTGTCCCTACATGTGATTCCAACATCGCTGTATGACATACTCAACGTTTTAGCAACAAAACAGAGGCTGCAAGGTGTGGACAGTCAGTTTGCCTGGCATCATTTTCAAGGACCTGAAAAGGATAATTGTATATCTGAAAAATGCCAAAATAATTTTAAATCAGAATTTTCCTGATTGCAAGTTGATGGTTAAAACACCTGTTCCCCTCGATCTGTACTCGTAAAGTAAAGCCAGTCATAGCCTCTTATTTTACGGAAAGAAAGTAGCTATAATAAGACTCTGTGAGCTCCCTTCCCCACCTCTCAGTTCAGACGTTCTGTATCACCGCTTCAGATGAATATCCTCATCAGTTCTTACCTAGTCAGATACCTCTTTACAGGGTTGATAATGACCATTAATAGGTGCATTTCACAATAACGTAAATGTCAGTGTAATTTCCACTTAGAAGCAGAATTTTGCAAGCACTTCAGTGTGAAATCCCCGTGCCGGGTACAAAGTGTAAATTAATCAAGCTGAAGGTCAGCTCTTTGCTGTGGAAACATAAACGAGGATGAGCCGTGCAGAGGATGCCGGCCAGCAGGTGCTCAGCCTTCTGCATGAGCGAGGGCTGCTTCCGCCTCGTCCCCTGCTCCAGGCGAGCGGGAAATGGGGGTGCTCCGTGGCTTCTGTGTGTCAGCCCTGTGCTGCCCACGGCAGGGGCCACACAGTGCACCCCTGGGCTGGGCTCCTGGGGAGGAAGTGTCAGGGCCTGCCCACAGCCCCGGTGCCTCCACGTGGCGGATGCTGTCAGCCAGTGCCTGCCCAGGTCCCTCACATTTCACAGTTTACAAAACTGAATTGTGTCTGTGAACACTTTGTCGACGGCACAAACAGACAGACCCTGTGCACGGCTGTGTCCTCCAGCCCAAAGGTTCTCTGGCCAGGAGAGGACCCTGCTGTGTGTTTTTTTCAGAAGGCTGTGGTGACAGCCCAGGAGTGGGAGTCTCTCTGCAAGGGAGCCAATCCTTCCAGGAGCTCACATTACTGACTGCCTAAGAAGCGTGGATAGAGTATATGATGAGTGAACAAAAATGGGCTTTCTTCTTACATGGAATTCTCTAGAAATTTCTCTTCACTTTGTGTCCATTTAAAAATACATAATCAGCAGGCAAGAAAACAATACCAGATACTCATGCTGTAAGTATCAGGCCTATGAAATGAGAATAAGGTTTGAAAGAATGCAAAATACCTATTGTGATGATTTCCCAAAAATGTTTTATGTTTTTCTCACTAACAGTAGTTTAAAGAAAGTACTGAGACATTTTTTTCTATTAGAATTCAAGCGTTCTGGTTGGAGTTGGAGTTGTCACTTCCAGCTTGGTTGATATAAATAATAAATAAGGTCAGAGCCCATATTTTCAAGCACAGTGGTAGTTGAGAGTTACTGTTTCCAAAGATGACATAATGTAGCTAATAAACTGTGAATGTAGCTCAGTTTTCTTGGACTGGAATATCAGATGCCTTTCCTTGATCTGTATGTATATACATATAATGTGTTTATTTCTTTTTTATTGTACTACTCTTGCACATATCTGTTAGAGTTATCCCTAATGATTTTGTGGCTTTTGACGACATAAATTTTTTTCCCCAGATTATCTTTTTATTGAAGTATAGTTGACATACAGTATTAGTTTCTGGTGTACAATATAGTGGTTCGACAGTTATATACATTATGAAATGTTCATTGACATTATAAATGGTATTTTAAAAATTTCTAGTATTCAGAAAAACACAGTTCATTTTTGATTATTGACCTTGTATCCTGCAATCTTTGCTAGACTCAACTTTAGTTCTAAAAGCTATTGTGTAGATTCATTTTCTGTTTTGCTTATCAGGTCATCTGCAAATAAAGAGTTTTCTTCTCCAATCCATATGCTGTTAACTTCTTTTTCTTGCCTTGTCGCCGTGGCTAGGCGTTTCTGTACGGTGTTTAATGACAAGGGTGAGAGCAGATTTCCTTAACTTTCTTCCTCATCTTAGGAAGAATACATTCAGTCTTTCACCATTATGATGTCAATTCAACATTTTTTGTAAGTGCCCTTTATCAGGCTGAGGCAGTTTTCTTCCATTCCTAGATTGCCGAGATTTCCATAAATAAATGATGAGTTTTGTTAGATGCTTTTTCTGAATCTTTTGGAATGATACTGTGGTTTTTCTTTTCAGTCCATTGATACGGTGAATTTCATTTATCTTTAAATGTTGACCCAACCTTATGTTCCTGGGATTAAACCCCACTTGTCATATCTTATTCTTTTCATTTATAATTTATTTGATTTGCTAATATTTTGTTAAGGAATTTTACATCTGTGTCTATGAGGGATACTGGCCTGTAGTTTTCTTGTAATACATTTGTCTGGTTTTAGTATCAGGATAATGGTGGCCTCACAGGATGAGTTAGGCATTTCTTCACATTTTTGGAATGGTTTGTGTAGAATTAGTCTTTTTTTCATAAATTTTTGGTAAGACTCACCAGTGAGTCCATTTAGAGTAGACATTTTGTGTGTGTGCGTGTGTGTGAAGGTTTATAACTATAAATTCAAGTTCTGATAGATACAGGGTATTTGTTTCTTACTGAGTGGCTTTCATAGGTTTTGTTCAAGAAGTTAGGCCATTTTATCTAAGTTGCTGAAGTTCATAGTTTTCTATTATTCTTTCAATATCCGTAGGGTCTGTACTGATGTCCCTTCTTTCATTCTTGATATTGGTAATTTATCTTTTCTTTTTTCTTGATTCCTCTGTCTAGGGGTTAGTCAATTTTATTAATATTTATGAAGAGCTAGATTTTAATTCAATCATTTTATTTTCTAGTTTCTGTTTCATTGATTTCTACTCTTTTATTTTCTTCTGTTTGCTGTGGGTTTCATTTGTTCTTTTTCATATTTTTTAAGGTAGAATCTGTGATTATTGATTTGCAGTTTTTCTTCATTTATAGTATTTAAAAGTAAATTTCCCTCAAGGCAGTGCTTTAGTTGCATTCCACAGGTTTTTAATATATTGTTTTTACTTTCATTTAATTTAACTTTTCCCATTTCCCATGTCATTTCTCTTTTGACACATGGGTTCTTTAAAAGTATGTTGATTTCCAAATTTGGGGAGTTTTCTAGATATCTTTTTATTATTGATTTCTAATTTAATTCTGTTGAGGTCAGAGAACATAATTTGTATGATTTCCATCTCTTTAAATAGGTCAGGGCTTTTCTGTTACAGAGCACATGAAGGAGGATGTATTCTGCTGTCGTGGGCAGCGTGTCCTACCGAGTGTCGGGTCAGATGGAGTTTGACGGTGCGGTTTGGGGGTTCTGTGCCCTTCCTGAGGCTGGTGTGTGTTTGAGCTGGTCTCAGAGCCAAACGCTGAGGCCTTCTGACCACAACTGTGGATTTGCCTATTTCTCTTTTCAGTCTGTCAGTTGTTCTGCTTATCTCTTCTTTTAAAACTACGTTTTAATTAGGATTTTAAATAGATCTTGAAATTAACAGATGTTTTTGTTAAGGAAATTTGGGTTGGGGAGGGTGTTAAAATAAAATTAAAACCAGCCAGGGATATTTTTACAAAGTGGAGTGGGGTTTATCCTTCAAACTTGTTCATGAGCCGTGATCATCCTTTGTTGTTAAATATAAAAGCTATTTCAGAAAGACAATGTGTTAGTTAGTTTCACTGTACTTTGGTAAATAGCCTACATTTATAAACAAAGTAGATTAGTCATAGATTTCTAATGGTATAATTCCTTTGGTACAAAATTTTACCAGCAAATTTAATACGTAGTAAGTAGATCAAATTATTTTGAAATTATAAAGAACAATGTTGTCATTAGTTAGTTTGGCCTTTGAGACTGTCATAGATTAAAAATCCAGTCTAAAGATGATTTAAGCTACCCTTATAGCCTCCTCCGTGGACCTTTTCCTGAACTGATCATATTAATCATTGAAAGCAGACGCTCGCCTATGGGGACATGAACCACGAGTGGATTGGCAACGAGTGGCTGCCCAGCCTGGGCCTCCCGCAGTACCGCAGCTACTTCATGGAGTGCCTCGTGGACGCGCGGATGCTGGACCACCTGACGAAGAAAGACCTCCGGGGGCAACTGAAGATGGTGGACAGTTTTCACAGGTGACTCATCACAGCTTCTTACGAAGCAGCTAATAGGTGTTTGTCACCATCTCTAAACTTTTTTTTTCTTTTGTAAATAGAAACAGTTTCCAGTGTGGAATTATGTGCCTGCGAAGGTTAAATTATGACCGAAAGGAACTGGAAAGAAAAAGAGAAGAAAGCCAGAATGAAATAAAAGGCTAGTACACTGTGTCTAGTTGACTTTGAATATTCCCGCTTCCTGGTGTACTCGCAGCCTCGGTGATTCCTGTTTCTAAAATCAGGAAATGCTTTCAGTGAACCCCAGCGGCCTCACTACAGGAGCGACAGGTGTGGGAGGGAACGCTAGCAGCCCCCCTGTAGCCAGAGGCCTTGAGTCGGCCTCAGTCTGTAGGTTAGGTGGCTCAGGTAAGCACGTTTCCTGCCACTTGAGGGGTCTCCTGTCGTCATGACCAGGCTGTCCCTTCGCTCAGAAATGCTGCTACGCTCGGCTAGGTAACGGCAGAGCAGAGATGGACCCAATCCTGCCGTTTGCTGACTTGATGTAAGCGTGAAAAATGCTGCTGTGCCCACTGACCAGAGGGCTTCAGGAGGCGGAACAGAACCCTGCGGGTCTGCTCGGGGGCCACAGGGACAGCAGAGGTAGCATTTCAGCTGGGCGAAGAAGTTGGAGTCGGGGAGGGAGGTAGGGCAGCGCAAGGCGGAAGGGGACGCAGGGCGCCTCTGAGTGGTGGCATGGAGCAGTTTGCTCTGCAGTAAGACGTTACTAATGAAGCTCAAAGGAAAAGCTCCCCGACTTCAGAATATAAAGGAGTCACCAATGGTAGTAATAATGATAAGATAAGATGTCCTGAACAACCCCGGGCGCATAGGTTGAGTGACAGCCCTCTGGGCACTGCTCTCGGTCCAGCTTTACAAAGAAAGGCACTGGAGACCGAAGATGGTCGGAGAGGCCCTCCTGAAGGGCTGGCGTGAGCCAGGAGAAAAGCCATAAGCCAGCATCTGTGATACGTGTATATCTCTTCCCTTTTATCCAGAAAAGGGCATTAGAAATGAAATACGTTGATCTGTTTCATTTGTTTTCTATTTCCATTTCAAGCTTTTTACAGCTGACAGAAGCTGTCTTTATTGGCGATCATCTGGATGTAGCTTTACAGAGTGGCTATTTTTAGATCTCTAATAGAGCAAATTTAGTAATTTATTACTTTGCATAATATGTCTCCTAAAGTCTCTAATATATTTGGAAATATTTTTAAGTTTCTCCCTTTTTAAAATGAGACAACAAAAAAGGCTTCAAGATCATAAATGAAAGGTATGTGTAGAATCAGGCAAGGAGTTCAGATACGTCGCCAGCTCCTGTGATGAGAAGGAAGTGTCTCAAAAGACTCTGAAGTCTGTATGAGACGCGCTCACACCTGCTGGGCATCCGAGCCTTTATATGTCCTTTGGCCCCCCGCCCCTCAGTGCCCGTTTCCTGTCCTCTAGAGCGGGTGCACACGACGACACCATGCTGTTGGGGCTCCCTCAGGAATGAGCTCTAAAGGGACAGTCTCTGTCAGTGGAGAAGGGACCGGCCATGAGTATCCGAACACAACTGGCCATCTGCCCCCTTAGCAGCTCCTCCCAGCACCTGGGGAGGGTGGGCTGTTGGTCAGGAGCTCAGGGCCCAGGTAGGAGTCTTTCTCCTGTGTTACAGGGTGTGTGTGGTGGAGGTGGCAGTTTCTAACACCACGTTTATAGCAGTTCCCATTCACCTGCAGACGTGCTTGTGTGGAGCAACGACCGAGTGATCCGCTGGATCCTGTCCGTTGGTCTTAAAGAATATGCCAACAATCTCCTGGAGAGTGGCGTGCATGGCGCGCTTATGGCCTTAGACGAAACCTTCGATTTCAATGCGCTGGCCCTGCTGCTGCAGATCCCAACGCAGAACACACAGGTAAGACCAGGCTAGCTGTGGTCACTCCGCAGATGCACGGTGAACTAGTTATCTGAACGGAAGCAAAACTTACCAAAACTCCAGACAACTAGTAATTGCTTTCCACACCTAATCTATAATGTAACGGTTCAGAATCAGCAGTGCTGAGCTCTTCATTGTTGTCACCTGTCCCCTTTCTGTTTTCTGTTGTAAGCCTGAGCTTCCTGGAATAAACGAAACAAGGGAAACTGTTCAAGGCCACACCCCTGAACTCGGTTCTTCCATGGTGCTTTCGTTTCTGTCACCCTCTGTGATTCTTTTTGACTCATGGGTTCACTGGAGGCTCACAACCTTCTAGTATTCTGGACAGCATCGTGTATCCCTTGCCAGTGCCCCTGACCCCCCCACCAGCACCAGCACACACAGGATTCTTCTGTATGTGATTCCGAGAGATCACGGATCCCTCTCCTCACAGGCCCATCTGTGGACAAACTGCTGATTTAAAATATACTGTCATGATTCAAGGCATCCATAGCTTCAGGTTTTAAAAAGTGATTTAAAAAGTGATTGTGATATGCTAACATCCTTCAGATTAGATGGATGAACATTTGGGGTTTTGTTTTGCTGTGATTTCAGGCTCGTGCTGTCTTGGAAAGAGAATTCAACAACCTTTTGGTAATGGGGACTGACAGAAGATTCGATGAAGTAAGTTTTCAGATGAGTGATTTTTCAGTTTGCATTCAATGTAAATTATTTTATGGTTCTCATAGGAGCCACGGACCAGGACATCACTCCTGAATGTGGAGATGATTTTACAGTTAAGCTTTGCTCTTAGAAATTTATTAGTAAATGAGCTATTAGATGATTAATGTTGTTTTTTAGAATTTTGGCTATTTAGCTTTTGGTACCCCTCAAAAATGTTTTTCACATCATAGAGTATTGGTTGCAGCCTAGGAACCAAGTCTAAGGTTGCATTTCAGGGGCAGCCGGAAGTCGTGCCCCATCCAGAGCCCCCGAGCTTGGGGAAAATGTTTCAGAAGTACATTGAAACATGTAAGATATTAACTTCCCCTTACATCAACCCGTGGCTCGTTTATTCCCACAGCATTGGGTATTGCTCTCTTCCTGGCCCTCAGGGAGACGTGAGCTGGACAAAGACGATACAAGGGCACCTAGAGAAACAGCCCTGCTCCGCCCCAGCAGGAGACAGCTGCTCACAGCTTGAAAGCTGTTCTTAAGACACACAAAAATGTTATCCTCTGTGGCAAGAAGGTGGTTCCTGCAAGAAAGAAGAGAAGCGTGGTGACAGTGGGGAGGACCGCCCTCCCTGGCAGCCGAGACCTGTCCTCACTTTGGCCCCATTAGGTCCCAGCAGAGGTGGTGGTACCAAAGGAATTTCACTCTCAGAAGTTCCCAGTTTGGTCAATAAATGATATGGCCTCAACAGTTAATTTAAAACTGGTAGCTTCATATTTCTGTGCTCTATTTTAAGATCAGTCTTGTCTCTGTCCTTTAACTTACTAGGACGATGACAAAAGCTTCAGGAGAGCGCCTTCCTGGAGGAAAAAGTTCAGACCCAAGGACGTCCGCGGCTTAGCTGCCGGGTCAGCAGAGACGCTCCCCGCAAGCTTCCGGGTCACCTCGTCTCTGTCCTCACCCTCCGTGCAGCCAAAGAAGATGCACCTGGACGGTACGTGATGCGTGGCACAGGCCCTGTACCGCAGGCAGACGGGGCAGCTCCGGGCTGGGGCGGCCTGTGGGGTGGCCTGCTTCAGCATGTCCCACGGCATGGGGTGCTGGTGCATGCCCAAGTTGGAATGTTTTAAAGTTCATCCTAACATCTGTTTATAAAAAGTCAACAATAATTTTTCTGTTTTTGTCTGGTCGAATATTAGCATATTCTTCCAACTAATAAAGCTAAGCATTGTGTGTGCTCAGAGCATTAGCCTGGCACCCATACGTACTCACAAAGGTGTGTGTGCAGGCAGCTCTAGAAGGCTCTGTCATGGAGCGGCGGCATAGCAGCCCCCACACGGGAAAGTGCGTTTCCCTCTCCCACGGGAAAGCGCGGGCTCCATTTTCAGCAGCACGGTTCCCGCCGCCGTGCACTCTGCCTCCCTCTCCTTCCCTCCACCCCTGCTGTCGGAGTCCATGTCATTACCTGCTGTGCGAGGACAGGAGGACAGCGGGCCTGGGGCCAGCGGCCTGTTGCGTGTACTGGCTTTGCCTTGTCATTTCAAATCACGCTCGGGACTTCCCTCTGACACCCACTCTGCATGGCGGACGCCACTAGTGCCGAGTTGGCCACAGTTTGCTGACAGACGTGTCAGTGCCAACGGTGTCCCCACTCAGTGGCAGAGTCAGGAGCCTGGCTGCCCAGGCCGGAATCCTCTTTGCCACTTCGGGGGGGTGTGGCCTTGCGTTCTGTGCCTCAGTGTCTCCAGTGAGATGGTCCCTCGTGGTGCCTGCCGTGTCTGGTTGTGGTGGTTACATGAGTCGGTTCACATGAAGCCCTTGGGTGTCAGCTGCTCCGAGTTACTGTGGTCGTGTTTCCCTTGCAGCCCCATCCTTGTTCCTGGTGGAGTTGGGGGCTGTAGAAAAGCAAGTGGGTTTAAAACTTCCACTGACATGGTTAGTTACAGTTTTTCCTGTCATCAGCCCCTCCTGTAAGTGGGTTTGTAAGTTTTGCTCTCACTCGCCTACCTAGAAATCAGAGAAGAGTACATTTCTATAAGGCCTTTGCTAAGGAACTGGACACTTTGGAGAGGATGGCTTAGAGGGCAGCATTTTTATTAAAGAGCTGCTTCTCTTTGCCATAGTTCATTAATATGCCTAATGGGAAAAACTGGCAACTTTTTGAGAACTAGCATTTTCTGGCAAGGGGCAGGCAGATAGTTTTATAAATCTTAGCAGTATTTTGGCCCTCAACTTCTAAGTAGTCTAAACAAGTGCTTCCCTGTTTTCCTCTCAGCCTTGTTTCCATTTTCTTCATTACCACATTCTCCCTGTTAAACATTAGCATTGATACTGAGACTGGGGTTCAGATAAATTAAAAAGAAGCCTACAAGATAGAGGACATAAATTCTGTGGAAGGTGGCTTTTACCCTTGTATGATGACTGAGGCATAAGCCTGGTAAAATGGGTGGTTCTGGTGGCTTTGAATCGGGGTGTGTGTAAATCGCAGCGGGTTGCCTGGAACCCGAGAACCAGACAGATCTGTGATCAGGCATCCGCACCGACAGGGCCAGCCTTCCTCACTCCTTTTCTGGGGCCATGGCAGCACATTCATCGCCGGATCCTGGCAAACCTGTGGGAAAGCAATTTTATAACGGGAGCCGCGAATATCTGCTACAGATGTTTTAAAATTTCTTACCCGTGTGAAAGGAGGAAGTGGGCCTCCCTACGGGGCCACGCAGTGTCGCGTTTCCCGACAAGAACAGAACCTCGCCCGTGCATGTCATTCCCGGGAGGAGCTGAGGCTGGGCTTTGGTGTCTGTAGGCGTCGTCCTCTGCCCACCCATGCCACCACACCTGGGGGAGACATCAGGGCCTCTAATGTGGCTGTGATGCCGCCCAGGGAGAGCAGGACTGGCACAGGGCGTGGATGTCAGAGGCCCTTCTGCCCTTCGTGGGCTGGGGACGTCCCACGTCGCCTCTGACTCACTCCCCTCCTACTAGTCTCAACACATACAGTATTCAGGGCTGAAAGAAAACCCCAGTCACTCTATAAGTCTAGGTTTGAGGAGAGACAGAGTCGCCATGATAAGTGGCTGTCACTGGCACAGATGTACATGGTGGCGTCAGTGTGTGTCATCTGAAATGCCCCTGAATCAGCTCTCAGTGGCTCCTGGGGCTGTCTGCGAGATGAAGAGGACCCTGCTGGGTGGCCCTTGATTCCCTTCCTCTGGCTTGTCTACTCCTGCTCTAGAAGTTTCCCTCGGAACCCCTCAGGTGCTGTTGTAGTTGTGAAAATGTATGTCTGTACTTGTGCCCTTGTGTGATGTGTAAAGACTAACCGCACGCTGTGTCTGCACGCTTCCTCGTGGTTCTCGGAACAGGCAGCATGTCAGGAGTGCAGAGGCTGGATTCCGCTGCAGTCAGGACTTACTCCTGCTGAAGCCTCCTGTTGGTGAGTAGCGAGAATGCAGCGCCCGCGGAGGCCCGGCCACGCTGTCCGGAGAGCGATGTGGCCTTGGCCGGGGGCCCGCCTCACTTCACGTAGGCTTTAAAAATAGACACATATAAGCCCCCTGCACCCGTTAAGATGATTTTGGTGTTCAGTATGCTTAAGGTTGATCATGAAGAGGTTAGTGTGTCCTCAGTTTTAAGGAAAAAGAGGTATTTCCACTTTCTCCTTAGATCTAAGAGTGCCGGCTAAATTTAAGTGTCTGCTGGTGTCTCTTTTGGGGAGGTGAGGCAGGAGCGCGGAACGTGGTGCAAAAGGGCGCGAGCACAGCCCTCCGCTGGCTGCCCCGAGCAGTGAGGAGCAGCAGGGCACGGCCTCCTGCCCGCTGGCATTGCCCACACACTGGGACAGCTCCCTGTCCACCCGCACGGCTGGCTTTGTGTGCATCACGTGTTTTTGAGTGAAACAGCCCCATCATAGTAAGCTTCAGGAGCGTTTACCATCACCGGCCACCGACAGCCTTTCGGTGCAGAGGTTGGTTTTTTAAAACAGAACTGCGTTGCCTCCACAGGGACGGCGTGGTCTGGTGGCCCTGCCTGGAGCTGATGGCGTGGGGTGCGGGCCAGGAGCCCAGCCCCTCACTGCTCCTCCTCCCGGCTCAGCCAGGATATTTGATTGGTTTCCACATCTTTTTTTTTTTAGTTGGTAACTTTTAGGCATATGCCAAAATGGAGTCAATCAAGGTCTGTCATCGCACAGCCTTTGGTATTCATCTAAGTTCTCAAAGCAGCTAAAGCGCAGAAAAGAAGGCAGGCGAGTCGGAGGCACACGGCCAGAGGCTCTGGCCCGCGGCTGGAGCTCTCCGGTGTGGCATGGGCCTGACTCTTGTGTCCTTTTCCAGTTTACCCGCACTACTTCTACCGGTGATCGCAGCGTTTGGGACCCAGCTGACTGCATCTTAGAACTCAATGGACTCTTTCATCTGTTAATACTTGTTATATGGACCCTAAGATATTTTATTACAGAGTTTTTAATTAGTGAAAAATTCATGAATATCATAGAGAAAATATTTTAGAATTTAATGTTTCTTATATTTATGTAAACTTATGACTTCATTTATATAGTTACTTACTTTTTCATGTATATCCAGGCTATAAATATCCTTTGAAAATAAATTCATGTTCTTATATCTAATTTTAGTCTTTGAAATGAATGTACTGTAATGCTTATATGTATAAATCCTATGAACAAATATAGGGCTTTTGTAAATTATGCATTTACTGTAATTATCATTGTTTAATTTTTTAATAATAAATCATGACGGAGAAGAGGCCTTCACTGCGCGCACGTCATCGCGCACAGTGTGCGCCACCCTCTACAGATGTGACCTGGCTCTACAACACCGGGTTTGAGATAAGCAGACTTATTTTCAAGCAGTTGAGGTTGTATTTAAATGATTGACCGTAACTATACTTTTTTTAGCAAGAAATGCTTTTTTCTGCAGCATGAACAGGTTTTGAAATATTTGATGTTAAATATCAGCTTCTAATAAAATTTGGACTGAAAGGATTATTAGAACACTATGAAACCCCCTTAGGACCAGTCGACTCTCATAGCCTAGTGGACGGTCATGAGACTGTGGACTTGGATGGCTTGTCCTCAGTGATGGGCAGAAGCCATGAGCTGGGAACAGGTCTCAGCGGGAGGAGACTGGGGGTAAGGGACCCCGACGTCTGCCCTGGCCTCCTCCCCCTCAAGGAGGGTCGGAAGGCGCCACTCAAGCACTTGAGGACCAACCACGAAGCACTGTGCCCCCCCACCCCCACCCCAGCGGATGGAGACTCGGGATCCTGGGAATAATGTGGTGCAACTTGACAAAGGCCTTATTTTTCCTGTGTAAATCATCTTTTTACATTTGTTTGTAAACACGTTTAAAGAATGGACCTAGTGGTCCATTTTTAGATTTTGATGATGTAGCTGTTTGGGTTGTTTAAGTAGCAAATGTAACTTACTTTTTAAATGGCATATTAAAAAGCCAGCAAGAAGTACATTCAGATCATGATGCGTTATTTATTAAGCAGCTGATAACCAGACAGATAGGGACGCGCGTCTTGTTACATTTTGTTTCCGCTTCTAATTTGTATAATTCATTGTTACCGTTCTGTTTTTCTGTTAATCTTTTGTGAACTTCCAATTATGTAACAAAGTGTGTACAGTTTACTTCTGAACTATTTTTATCACAGTATTATTTATTGCTGTCTTTCAATAAAGTACTGAAGCATTTTCCACTGCCAGTAAAGGATACTGACAAGCCGTATTTGTGTTGGAAGCTGACCGCGGCTGTTCATCTCGTGCTCTAGGCTGACTGGAAGCAGCATCTTCACGTGGGAGTTCTGGCGTGGAAATGAACTGATGAACAGAGAGGCTGCAAGGTGGACGTACAGGGTCAAGCTGTCCTCCAGAGAGGACTGGGCGCTCAGGGCCCTCGGCTCTGACCCCAGAGGCAAGGAGCCAGGCAGGTCTCAGACAGAAGCGGGGTGTGCAGGCTCCTCTTGGCCCAGGGAGGGCCGACGGGTGTGCGCCCACGTGTTCTCTTCCCCGTTTCTCAGCTCCCCTCCCACCTCCCGGTGGGCGTCACTTCCCGCTCCTCTGTGTGATCACATGGTGCTGTCCAGGGCTGTCCTTCCGGATTCATGGCCCCGGGGACAGGGAGCCTGCCTCTCTGGAACCAGGTGCTGAGCCCTGTACCTCCACCACGGTAGGGGCGAGGGCTACCCACGCACTGGCTCTGGCGGGGCCCATCCAAATGGAAGGGCTGGACACTGAGTCTGGGGCAGAAAGCCGGCCACTCGTGGGTGCCTGGGAAGGGGGTGCGGGGACCGCTCACGGGCGGCCCAGGACGAGAGCCCCAAGCCCGGTGGCGGACGCCGGCCCACCCGGGGCCGTGCTGGGTGGGCCCGGCTCTGTCCCTGGTCTGTGTGTCCTGCAGGCTGTTTCCGTCAGGAAGGAGGTGGTTTCTGTTCTTGAGAGCCTGTGCTTGCCGCTCTTCCCGTGTCAGTCAGGGCAGCCTCACTTCCTGCCTGTCCTCGTCCTTGGGGCGCAGTCCGCCTAAGCGTGGGAGCCACAGCATGTAGGGCTTGCTTGCTTTTTCACCCGACTTTCCATTTTACTCAACAGGCAAGCCGTGAATGTCCTGAAGCTTCTGGAAACAAAGGCACATTGATGCATTAAGTTGCAAGTGTGTTATTAAAACTTGATTGGAACAGTGATTCCATTTATGCCTTTAAAAAGTCAGTTGAGAAATATGCAAAGAAAGCAGATGTTTCGGTGGCCTTGCTCTCCTGAGAATACTCGTTGGTCACGTTCCTCGGGCTCGTCTCCTGTAGACGTTCGGGGCGGCCGGCAGCAGGGGGGCCGGAGCCGGTGGGCAGCCCGGGTGTGGCCCCGTACTAGGCTACCTCAACTCTTCCCACCATTAGAAACTGTTCAGGCCACTTCAGCCCCACAATTGCTGCCTTACGGTCTCTCTCCACGTGTCACATCCTGCATTTTTAAGGTGATTGTGAGTTTTTGCTTTTGTTCTATACCTTTTGCTGGCTAAGTCCTGTCTCACCCAGGGGGCTTCCTGGATGTGGGCAGAGGTCCATCCTCCCTGTGTTCTTTGGCAGACAGACAAATGGCTGTCCAGAAGCTATTATTGCTTCTATTCTAACTACCAACAAATCCCTAAACTATATTCCTGAGTGTCTCAAAGATGTATTCCTCTTACGTATCCTTAGCTTAATGGCAAATGAGTGGCAGCGATTCTGCTGTTTTATACCCATGGCTCAGTCGTGCGCATTTTCCAGTCCTGTTTGAGGCTGGCACCTTGTGTGGCCCCTGGCCTGGACCACACCAAGTAACGGGTGGGACAGGAGGGTCATTCTTGGCCCCCGTCAGCTTCTCGTGGCCGCTGGCTCCATTGGCGGCGGCCACATCTCTCTGATCTCGGCGTCTGTCACGCGGCCCTCTTCTCTTCTAAGAACACCTCTCACTGGCCCACCTGGCTAAGCCAGGATGATCTCTCCTCAGGATCCATCACTTAATTATATCTACAAAGACCCCTCTTCAATGTGAAGTTGCGTTCCCACGTGCCAGAGACTTGGACACAGATGTATCTTTGCAGGTCCACCATTAAATGCCCCACAGCATCCAACTTGTCTTGTGGAGAAGGCCGCCCTGGCCTGGAGATGTTAGGGGTGGAGAACTGCCCCCCTTCCAAGACCCACTCACTTTATGACAAACGTGGGCTCCTTGTCACAGGGCACTGAGTCGAGAGCAAGGAGTCCCCGGCAGCCTTGGGAAAAGAGCATTCCAGATGCTTCCATGGTGACACGAAGCAGAGACTGGCCAGGAGGAAAGCAGAGGACAGTTCACAGTAATCAGAACGCTCCTTGGCATGCATGCAAATGGGTTGGACAGCTAGGACAGCAAATCTTCAAACCTGGGTGTGCAGAGTGTCACCTCAGTGAAACTAGAAGGGCGGGTGGGGAATCTGCACTATTGAAAAGCAGTTTCAGTGGCTACCTGTTGAGGACCCGCTCTGTACCCAGGCACTTGGACGTGCTGGGGAGGCAGCATAAGACAGCAGGAGGCCACCTTCTGGTAAGGGTGGCTGTTTCATTCTGTCCATCCAGAGTTTGGCCAGGAATGTGAGCTGCACTGTGACAGTGCTGCGGACGCTGCATCAGAGGGAGGGAGACGCTAGCTTTGGGGACACCGGCGCCACAGCATCGGTGCTGAGGATCTTGCTCATGTTCACTTGGCACACTTGCTGTTTCCTATGAATAATACATGTATGTGGTCCCCGGGCAGGACACGAGCACCAGCGCCGATCAACCCATCAGATACATCCCGGCTCCTTCCGCGTGGCCGCCCTCCTGCCGCAGCTCCTTGTGTTTGACTCATTCTGAATATTTTACGTAAGTCTTGCCCACCACTTTCCGAAGAAGCCAACAGCATGCACGTCTTTACTCACAATGAGTCACGGTTGGCAACTGACTTCCCGGCTTAGACTTGGCAGTTCTTGTCTTCAGGTAGAACGAAATGTCCTTGTAAAGTTAAATAAAAGCAATTAAGGTTTTTTTTCAAAGTTAAAAGCAAGGTAAATATTTTTTAAAGTCTAACTGGGGAATTACATCACACAATGTCTAGGGCTGAAGGGAGCCTAGTCACCAGTTCTCCAACACTCTGTTGTCTTTTTAGCCGTGGACCGCGATCAGCATAGTGACGTGCACACCCTTTAAACTAAAGCCAGCAGCCCCCCCCTTGCTCTCACTTCCCCCTAGTTCCCGTGCAGCTGTTGAACTGTTTCCTGACTCCTAAATCGTAGGAGCACAGTGTGGTCTCCGGGTTCATCGATTTTGGACTTGCCTATTGGCATCTCTAATGGCTGGTAAGAATTTTAGCATTTCTGTGCGTCCTCTTTCCCTCTCCCAATGTCCCAACAGTTAAAAAGAAGTTCTTGGTTAAATCGGTATTCATGTTGCCATTAGAAAGGCTGTAAATATTACGGAATTGCTCAGCCAAGTGGATCACTGTGATGACAACAGAAAGGACACATGGTAAACTGTAATCATCCCATGCAAAATGACGCAAAGTCTGGGATTTGCTTTAAAATAATCTTGCGAGAGGGATGGGTCAGGATATGGATCGAACAAAATTGACCATGTGGGTTGGTAATTTTTGAAGATGGGTGATGGATTCATGAGCGTTTATTATACTATTCTGCTTTACATTTGGGTGACATTTTCTATAATAAAAACCCATTAATGGTTATTTTCAGGACACCCTCTGTGGGACAGACTGTCTCGGTCTTCAGATGTCTAGATACCATCCTGCTTGGCCTTCACCCTGGAAAGTGACTGAGCCCAGTGCCCAACTGCAACCGCAAGCCTCAGTGGGACGCGTTCCACGCCCAGCTTGGTGGCGCACCCTGCATTTCCCATCCGTCTTCACCGCTTTACACGTTTTGATATCTGTCAAGTCAGGACGCATTTCACAAGCAGTGGCATCTTAACGCTGGGTGGAATATAGTGCATGACAAGTGTCGTATCATGGGGGGCTGTAGGTTCTTGGCTACTCACCCCATGGAAGGGGGCATCTAGCCCCCCTTGAGCCTAGGCTGGCCTCAGTGACTTGGTTGACCAGATGAATGTGCGGATGGGACGTCCAGGGACCTCTGAAGTCTTGTGCAAACCAGCCCACCCAGGAAGAAGGTAGTTGGACTCACCTGCCCTGAGGCCACCACACTGGGGAGGAAGCCCAAGCCTGCCACACGTGGAAATGGGGTCCGGGGAGACCCCAGATGCTCCCGTCATCCTGTTGTGCATACCAAGCACGTAGATGAGGAAACCCAGTGGACATCTCGGTCCCTGAAGACCTGAGGGGTAGAAGAAATGGGAAATTCACCTGACAGACCAAGGCCCCAGACACATGGCCCTAGTCCAGTTCATCCCAGCCACGGCCAAGCACTTGAGCCACTCCAGCTGAGGCCCCACTGGAAACAAAGACGAGCCACGTGCCCTATGCCCAGACCAACTTACAATCCGTGAAATGTCAGTGTGATAAAATGGTTGTCCTTTTACCATTAACTTTTGGGGTAGTTTATTACACAGCCATCAATAATGAACTCATGTATACAATGAACACTCACATTGTCTGTCTGCTGTCTTCTATTTTTTATGCTGGTTTTCCCCCCATAAAACTAGAAGATTGCCATCTGCTCTGGCTTCTTACCTGCTGCTCTGTAAAAACCTACCCCAAACTTCATCGTAAAAAACAATGATGATGTGTTGTTTCTCTGGACTCGGTGGATGGGCAGGCTGGCGCTCTCTCCCGCTGGCCTCTGTCCCTCTGCGCTGGGCTTCGTCACAGCCCTGTAGTCTCGGGCCCCAAGGCAGCAAGCTCCGAAGCTGCCAGGCGTCTTCAGAATGCACACAGTGTCATTTCTGCCACATCACATCCACCACAGCAAATCACAAGGCCAGCCCAGATTCAAGATGATAGGGAAGTGCACCCCACGCATCTCTTGACAGGAGGAACAGTTACGTCGCTGATATGGACTGAATGCGTCTCCTCCAGATTCCTATGTTGAAACCAGATGCCCAGTGTGGTGGTGTTTGGGGTGGGGACTTTGGGAGGTGCACAGGTCCTGAGGGCGGGGGCCTCAGGAGTGAGATCAGGGACCTTATGAAGAGCCCCCAGAGGGTCGTCTTTCCCCTGCCATGTGAGGACATGCTGAGAAGTTGGCGTCTAGGACCCGGGACGTGGCTCTGCCGGCGGTGCCATGATCTCGGGCTTCCAGCCTCTAGTTGCTTCTGTTGGTTCTAAGCCACCCAGCCTGTGGTGCCGTCAAAGCTGCCCGAACGGTCTAGGGCCATCACCTGGCACGGAGGCATGGCCACGGGGGTGCGGCGCTTGAGGGCTGTAGCTGGCAGCCCCCGAACAAAAGGCATTTTCTCTCTCCCGGTCCTCGGGCTGGAAGTCCAAGGTCAGTGTCAGCAGGGCGGCTCCCCCCCAGCCTCTCCTGGGCGTGTGGACGCCGTCTCCTCCCTGGGTCCTCACGTAGCCGTCCCCTGTGTGTGTCTGTGTCCTGACCTCTTCTCATAAGGGCACCACTCACCTTGGATTCGGGCCACCCAATGACCCCATTGAACCTTAATTATGTCCTCAAGGGCCCCGTCTCCAAGCACAGATTCCAAGGGTTAGGGACACAGTTCAGTCCATCATGGCCACTATCAGAATACCTACCACACATTCTTGGGAACACCGCTGCTACATTCCTGCTCTTTTCTCTCCACATTTTGGAGATACTACTGCATTGTCACCCAACGTCCCCTGGGCAGAGCGCAAGTCCCGAGTGAGGCTGATCACCGTGCCTTTTGCGAACCAACTGTCTTCGTTCCGGTAACGTATGCTTTTTCTATTCTTGAGAGTTTGCAGTTTTACTGCCCCGTCTCTGAGTGTACTTTAGTTTTATGTGTCATCCTGGGAATCGGCAGTTCTGGTGTGCACCTCTCACCTTTATTACAGAAAGTTTTCACCTCTACCTCCTCCGTCATCGGCTCCCCGCGGGTCTCTCATTCTCTGCTGCTGGAACACCAGGTAAGTCCAGATCGGAGTCTGGGGGGTAAGCCCTGACCAGTGGCTTTTCTTTCTGTGTCTGATGTGAGCTGATTGCTGGGACGTGCATCGCGAAGCATCAGGAAAGCCACCTCAGAAATACACACCAGCCCCACGACCAGGCCGCTTTGCTGCAGACATCTCCCTTGGCTCCCATAACTGACAATTTGGGCCACTTTTTTTTTCTCTTCCCGTGAACTTTAAATTCCCACTCTTATGTTTTAAATTCACCGGTAGTGAACCTGTGAAACCCTAGGCCCCCACTCTCAACCCCAGTAAAAGCAGACCCCCAAGCCCAGGGCCTCTGTCTCCTCTCAGCCTCGCTGTGTGCCCCCTGGTGTGCCTCCTGTGCTCCAGGGCTTGTGAATAGTAAACTCTCTTTCCTCCCTGGAGTTTTCTAATGGTTATTGCTGAGGGGCTTCTTGCAATCATAGCAAGAACCACAGGGGTTGGGCCAGTCATAGCATCGGTTTGGAAAGGGGAGATAGATGCCTGCGGGCAGCTCACTGGGCATTTCTGGCAGAGAGCATTGCTGTGATAGGCTGAGGCCCACCCAAGACGGGCCTCTCAGCGGGCCTGCCTTCTGACCTACCTGCTGTACCTTTTTTAGCAAAAGCTTCTAAATCTCTGATTTTCTCCTTAACAGTGCAGATCTAGAGTTAGGCACACCTACTGGGTTTTCCATTTCAATAACCGCGTTGTCCAGGTTCTGCTGTCAGCTCGGGCCGCCGTAAGAACAGAGCGGTGGGAGCTTATTTCTCCTGGTCCCCAAGGCGGGGAGACCTGAGACCAAGGTGCCAGCTGCTTGTGTTTCCTGGCTCGCCGACAGCCACTTTCTTGCTAGGTTTTCTTGTGATGGAGACAGAAAAGAAGCCAACGCTCGTGTCCCCTCCGCAGACACTGACCCAGCAGGAGGGCCGCATCCCCACCACCTCGTCCTGACCCACCTGCCTCGGGAGGCCTCCCAGCCCAGGCCGTCCCAGCGGGCGCTAGGAGGAGGGGGCACAACTCACTCTGCAGCACACAGGCCAGATGTTAAATGATTTCCCATAACTGCCTGTCTCTGTTTGTGACCTTATTTCATAAATGTCCCTTGTCAATTTGAAATCCCATGCAAAAAAATGTTAAAATCATACCTTGTCCTACACCATAAAATTCAACTTTGAAAATTCACTTTCTCATTTGTTCCCTGTATTTGCTTTCTTATTTAATCAAGTTCTGCAAAGTCGCTCTGGAACTTACATCGTGGGCCAGTTTCCAGCGGCAGCTGTTTTGTTTTGCGGCTTCTCTTCCTCGCTGCCTGTCTCGCTCTGTGGGCGCCTCCAACCTCCATGCAGGCGGGCGGGCCAAGCGCCTCCCAGTCCGATGTGACGCAATATAATACGACAAGCTTGATTCGTGTCACACGTAACAGGCCAGCGTGTGTGCCCAGGGCCGGGTGCAGGGGGAGGGGGTGGGCGGGAAGGGCTGTCTCGGGAGGCTCTGCAGGGACTCAGGCTGACGGGGTTGTGCCGTCCAGGTCACAACTGTCGCCTCGATGTGGGCAGTTGAATAACGGCCCCCACGCATGTGCATTTCCTGATCGTCAGAGCGCGTGCATGTTACCCTTAGATGGCGGAAGGGACTTTGCAGGGCTGGTGAGCTGAGGGTTTTGGGAGCAAGCGGGATTACCTGGGCGGCTCCTAAATGTCGTCACAAGTGTCATCACAGGGAGGCTGGGGGAGTTTCATCGGGGAGAGGACATAGGTGTGACAGCAGAAGCCTGGGTTTGGTGAAGTGAGGAAGGCCGGCACCTCCCTTGGGCCTGCAGGAGGAACCAGCTCTGCCAACATCTTGATTTGGGCGCAAAGAGATTGGTTTCAGATTTCTGGCCTCCAGACCTGCAAGAGGAGAAATGTGCGCCTCCCCCAGCCACTGCCTCTGTGGTCTGCACCACCAGAGGACGCTGACCTCCTGTCGCCACGCCAGCCCACACACGGGGGTGCTTTATCAGGCCTGGGAAGTGGTGCCCATCATTTCCTCTCACATTCCATCACTGCGCCCACTTCCAAGGGAAGCTGACAAATAGATGCCCCATAGCTGGGCCGCCACATGCCCAGCCGGTGCTCAGGAAGGGCCCGGGTGCCAGCCTCCACCACACTCCCCGAGCCGTCGGCCCTGGCAGTGTGGACCCCACGGAGCCCACCCGAGGCGGGGGCCGGCCCGCACAGGTCCTGGTCCCAGTCCACGCAGCTGCTCTCCTTGGCCGGACTTGCCTCCGCAGCCTTCTTCTCCGAGTGTCCGTGACGCAGGCCCAGCTCACGGGCAGCTCCAGCCTCGCTCACCGCTTTGCATTTCTGTTCACTCTGGGTCCACAGAGATCGTTACCCTCTTTCTTTTCTACCTTAGCTATCTATGCCCTTCTGCTTTTACAAATTTTACATTATCTAATTGCCGTGTGGCCCTCTGGTCCTGCCACACCCTCTCTTGAGGGGCAGAAACGCAGCATCGAAGGGGGACCTGCCCCATCTTTCCCCTGGAGGTCCCCCTGAGGCGTCTGTTCTCCAGCAGCCAGAGCGGCCTGTGGGTCACGGCTGCTCACCCGGCCCCCCGCTGAAGGCCCGCTGTCCTTCTCCGGGAAGTGGCAACCCTACCACCCACACCTCACCGAAAGCGGGTACTCCAGCCTCGCTCACCGCTTTGCATTTCTGTTCACTCTGGGTCCACAGAGATCGTTACCCTCTTTCTTTTCTACCTTAGCTATCTATGCCCTTCTGCTTTTACAAATTTTACATTATCTAATTGCCGTGTGGCCCTCTGGTCCTGCCACACCCTCTCTTGAGGGGCAGAAACGCAGCATCGAAGGGGGACCTGCCCCATCTTTCCCCTGGAGGTCCCCCTGAGGCGTCTGTTCTCCAGCAGCCAGAGCGGCCTGTGGGTCACGGCTGCTCACCCGGCCCCCCGCTGAAGGCCCGCTGTCCTTCTCCGGGAAGTGGCAACCCTACCACCCACACCTCACCGAAAGCGGGTGAGTGGTAGTGGGGGGGAGGGCTGGGGGTTGATGCGAAGGGGTCATGTTTCTTTTGGGGGCATGAAAATGTTCTGAAATTCGGTGGTGGGGATGGTTGCAACACCCAGCAACTGCGGTAAAAACCACTGGATTGTATGCTTTTAAGTGACCACATTGCCTTCCCTTTAATTTTATCTCAGTAAGATAGCTCTTCAAAATAATTCTCAACTCATAAAGCTGTTTTAAGAGGAAAATGAAATATCCTATAT